CTCTTTCTATTTTTTTTTCTGATTAATAAAATTTAAATGTAAACTTTAAGTGTAAAGTAACGAATACAAAGTTTCATCCTCCTTGTACAGCCTGTGAATGATGTATTACGCGAATATTAATTATCTGGTGAAAACTGAAAATTACCTCTGACGCAAGAGCGTACGGGTCGATTAATTCCAATTTCGGGCAATTTTCTACTCGAAGACGCTCGAGCGACGTCAAGCCCGAAAAGGCGCTTGCACCGACCACTGTCAAATAAGGCATGCAACAGAGGCTTAACTCTTTCAGCTGCGGTATACGCGGGAACTGTTGCATATGATGGATCATCTGAATCGGATTTTCGTCCATGTAGAGGACCTCCAACCATTTCGCCCCTTCGAGCGCTTTTGGCGGGTTCGCGAACTGGTTTCCGCTCAAGTCCAATTTTCTCAGTCTGCTAAATGGTGTAAATTTCGATTAGCACAGGCTTGTTCCGTAAACATGTGTACTCACGCGTGTCGCTTGTAAGTTTTTATCGCAAAAGTGCGACGTGATTGAATTCGTTTCGTTCAAGTCGACGGAAATTCCAATTCGAAATGTTCAATTTAGTTTCAATCCATTTGAGAATTGCAGATTATCGTGGTAATGAAATTAACAATAGCGTAGATCATGATCGAGGAATGTAGATCGAATGAATTTTCATTCGCTGTTTCAGTTCGACGCACGTGAGATTGATCGATAAAAATTTAGTACAGCAATATACGCTACCGGCCAAAAGTTTGGAATCACGCCATTTACAGATTTGATTGATTAGACCTAGTTTCGATTGATTCGAATGATAAAAAATCCTTAAAATTGCTAACTTATTTCTCGAAATTTGTATCGAACTTGCAATGCACGATGATTCGAAACATTTTGCCGGTAGCGTAGATCGTTATTAGAGAAAATATAGATCGGATCAATTTCCATTCGCTCTTTTAATTCGACGCATGTGAGATCGATCGATAAAAATTTAGTACAGCAATGTAGATCGTTATCGGAGATAATATAGATGGAATAAATTTTCTGTGAGAAAATCCGTCCCGAAGACTGTGAAGCGAGCATCTTGAAGCCAGGCCCAGCGCTTTGGGTTCTTCCCTGGGCCTGTTCGCGTAGAGGTTGACAGGGATCGGCAGGACGACGCGTCCTCGCTCTTCCCGAGACCCTTAACGTATACTTTTGCGAGCGACGCCCGAGTAACGTGGAGATAGACTTTGAATAAAATATATTATTGCGGAAACGTAGAAACGTTCAATTCATTTTGCGCCCACCCTACTCCCAGTACTTTTCTGACATTTCTTTAATTCACTCGTTTAACATACGTAAGATTAACGAATGAAAGTCCATCGTAACTGGATTGGTATAAAACAAACAACGGTATTCTACGTTGAACGTCTATAAACTATAACGATACACTTGTAGAACGATATCTACGCGTTTCTTATCGGTGCAATCCGATATGTCGAATCAGTTTCCGTTGTTATATCTGTGTGTACCTATTAGCTCACTATCGATACGGAGAAACGAGGTGTTATTTTCTAATGGTACTGTTGGATTCCGGGCGATGGAACGTGTACAACACTTTATAAAATCTTAACAAGAGGTTGATTCAAGAGTCTAAACACGTTGTGAATCGTAGAAAGATATGGAAAATAATGAGTATCGGCGCTTTTGAGGGTGTTGTATTTATAGGGATTGGAAAAGGACGTGGAAGGGACTAGGGTTGAGATAAAAGGTCTAGGAAAGTTGTAAAGGTTCTAGGTGACTAAGAACTAAACTGCAAAATATTTGGAAGAAATGAGTGTTCGCGATGCGCGAGCGGTTAGCATCCATGAGCCATGTCGGTAGGTTGGTATCCAACAGGACAATAAACGCGTCTGTTAAATTCAATTCTCACCTCATCGAGAGAAACTGATTGGTCGGAAGTGTTTTCAATCCGCAGTAGCTCAGGTCCAGTGCTTCCAGATCTGGAAGAGAACTGAGCGCTATCGATGTACTTCTGTCCACTATCGAGAAACGATTTCCAGAAAGATTCAACACTCTCAGGTACGACAAGTGCTCGAAGATGTCCTGATGCAGCGAAAGGAGGAGATTGTTGGCCAGATTTAACACAGCCAGCTTCTCCAGTGGTTCGTAAAGATCTGGTGAAAAGTTGCCCTGAAAATTTTGCGCACAATTAATCGAATCAACGTTCGTTCCTTTTTTATCGAAAAGTGATAGAACGATATTTCAAATATCATTCGTCACAGATGAATATCTAGAATATAAAAAAATCGATATCAACGTTGACAATAATTGAATTCGACGAGAAGAATGAAAAGATTCCACTGGACTTCAGATAATCGACAAAAGAAAAACCTAATTTGCAGCTAAACTAATTTCGATACCACGGTGACTTTCAGTGAATTTCAGTGAATCAACAGTCGTATCGCTTATTTTCCCAATGGAATTTTTTCCTTTTTCTGTCGCTTCTCGCCCGTTCAATTAATTCGCCCTGACGCTAAATAACAGGTAAATAGAGTAATCTAGAAATAAAATGTCAAGATAACGATTGTGACTAACGAAAGATTATACAGATCATCCAGTACACACACGCGTTGAACGTTCAACGAGACAATTAACACCAGATTACAATCAGCAGAACATCCCGGTACAGATGACAGAAATATACGATCTTTCGTTTCTTAACATTTGAAAATTAGCGCGACATTACCTCGAACACATTCGGTTGCAGATTCTCCGTTGTGAGCTGATTGTAGCTCAGATCCAGTTCAGTGAGGTTAATTATCTGCTTGAAGGCTGCGACGTCGATTTTCGTGATCTTGTTCTCTCGTAAGATCAGCTTGCGTACCTGCATCCTCGGGAATGGTTTCACGTGTATCAACGAAGTATTTCGAAAAGTCAACGTTCCTACGATTTTCGTCGACCATTGCCAGTCTTCGAAGTGGACGGTGAAGTTTGTATTATCGCAATCTATGATGTCACCTGATACGAAAGCGAGCATTTACCTACTTTTGAAAGACTCTTCGTTTTCTCTTCGAAATTCACGCTTCGCGTGCCGATGAGAATTAACGGTTCAGACGATTTTAAGCGACGCCTGTAATTTGTTACAATTACGAATTACCTGTACAATTGCACACGGTGCACATACTCGGAACTTCCGATAGAGGTGTTTCTTCCTCCGGTTTCTTCTCTACTTTTTCCGCGGTCAGCGTACCGTTCTGCGTGGTCTTGCCAGTTTCGGTCACGTTCTGACACTTGACTGCCAAAAATACGGAAATAAGAAGTATCAATAGTCGGTAATCCATGATTTCTTTTGGGAGACCAGCAACGGCAGAACTTCACACTGTGAACTAAAATCAGTTTTTCTATATCAAGCCGAGTGTCTCTGATAACGAAGTTGACGATAAGATACCGTTGATCACCGTTACTCATCGCTCCAAGCCGGTAAGTCCTTCTAATTCGCTGCTCCATTTGGTCTCCACTAAACGCGAAATAATTGAATTCGCTTTTTTTTTTTATTTCGTCGTTGATATAGTAAGTTACAGGTGTAACGTAGAACTGTTTGCTCATAAGATAAACGACTTTGAAAAACACACACATGTGTTGCTTGAATAATTTTCTTTTGGAAAAATGTGTCGCTTTTTTCTTGAAACTTTATTGGTAATAGTCCAGGTATGCAAGATTTTTGAAATAGTTAAAAGTATTTAATTAACAGGTAAATAATGTTGTAGTGAAGTAAACAGGACAATATGTATTTTATATTCGTTTTTATTTCAATAATAACGTACACAGTGAAATCGGTGTGTAAAGTTCTTAAAGATATTCGGTAAGTCGAACTTTATTCAATTTTCACGATTTTTTTTTCTATGAAAAATTCAAATATCGCGCTTCAACCTGAGCGACGCTCGAATGAACCGATAATCGTGTGGGTGTCGCCATCTGCGGTGGTACAGCGTTACTAACGGAGAAGAGAAACCTTCGCGAAAAGTATTGAATCGGTGACGTCACAAAAGACGTGTCAGTGGAAGGAGTAGACGGGGATTGTAGAGGAGCATGTTGAAAAATGTCCGATTACTTTAATTTATCGTACGACGTGAATAGTGGTAAACAGAGGGGTTTGTGTTGACGCGCGTGCAAACGGTAGACCGGTGACGGTGTATGATTATCGTCGAGCCCCGAGGTATCACGTGGACGTAAAGGACATTTGACTTGCGACTATAATCAGACACGCCGACCGAAATATCCTCGAAAAATAAAACTGGTGGACGGTGTTGTTTAGTTCCTGCAGGATTTTATCAGGACTGGCTTTCGCGATACGGTAAGTGAATTGGAAATAAACGTTCCCTCGTATACTGTCACGAGGACAGCTGTTTCGACGCATCGTTCGATCAGCGTAATTCCCGCTGGCCTGTTCACCTGCAGATTTGTGAGGTTAGGTTCGTTTATTCGTTCCTGGTGCGCCGATACACGCAAAAAACTTGTTTTGTGCGCAATGCCCCTCAGTGAACGCCCATTCCTCGCGGTCTGCCTTGACAGAATTGCGAATTGATACGATCGATATTGTCAAGGGTCTTCCAAACAGCGACTTTTTCGAATGACATCATGCGTACCATGCGACCGATCACGGCTATCAACTGGTTCTCGATTGATGTTCATTTATCTTCTTGTTACCGCACATTACGAACAGTTCTCTTCCTCTAGCGATTTTCTCGTTGCTTTAAAATAATAACAACGACTCTGTGTATATGTTGTCGAAGTATATTACCTAGATAATAATTTAAATAAGTTTGAATGAGTTCATCTTACGAAAAATTTCGTGTTTCAAGAGCGCTGTTCGGAGGGTAATAATGACCTTTTGTACTATCGTATGATTTTCTTTTGGTATTGTCAGTCTTTTTAACTGTGAGATAACTGGCGGGAACTTCAACTTGAAAGCGCATTGTTCTCGTTATCGTGTATTTCGAAATATCTCAAGTGAATCAATTATGAACGAATGAATATAAAATTTATGTAAACAGATCAGTTTTACCGATTTTACAATTTCTATTATTAGTATGTCATGAAATTTGAATAATTGTAGAGATAAATAAAAACTTGGGGTTTGATTAGTGGCGCTCAGTGAGTTGTACTACTTAACCTTACATCGGTAAACGCAATCGGCCTGCATAGACCAGCTATATTTGTATTTCCATCTAGAACAGAATAATTTGTGCTAAGCAAATTACATAAAATGATAAACGGATAGCTTCGCAACGCAAGCGTGTCCCCGGTGCAACGAGCAAATCGCTGTTTACATCGTATCAAGGGAACCGGTTAAAATGGTTCAGAGAATATTTTATGATAAAAAAGAATGACAAAGTTGCCTCAATGAGGTATCGCCATTATATTACAATGTGTGCTATACATATTCGATGAATCAAATTAGTGTGAACTTGGAACGATGAATTTTTCTCCACTGTCTACTTAAACCTGTAATTTACCAAATGAAATAAATCAATGAAAATTTGAAGAACAGTTAATAACACTAATGTACTAAAATTTTTTTAGCAATCGTATGAATTAAAAAAATTACAAATATAATTAGTGTAACGAATGTCTTCTGTAGTTGACGAAATTTAATTTTCATTCAATATGGAAACAGTAAAAATTTTAAAAAGCAATCCTGTCCATAATAATCGTGAAAATTATGGCAAAAAATTTAATAAAATCACGTACTCAGACGCTTATAATTATCTTACGGAAATTATTATAAAGTCTGAAAATAATAAGATGGATGAAGTTAAATTCTTGCCATGAATACGTGCAAGATCTACTTATCTCAAATTTTCATCTTAAATATATAGTTATAAATAAAGCTCGAAGGAGCAAATAAATACCACGAAGCTGTTATGCAGATCATTTTCTTACGTAAACTAATATTTGCAACAAGTTAAAACGGGTACTTTAAAGAATTTATTTAATCTCAAATGTAGTTGCAAAATATCATTACACATACATATCTTTATCTCGATCGTAAAATTTTTCAAAATACACAAATTACATTGATTTTCCATACCCTCGATGCAACATAAAGTTTTCTACAAAATGTTAAAAAAAAGCCATCTACTTTCCATCGTATAAAAAAGTTAATTTCGCTGTGTATTATCCACACTCTCTACTGCGCATGCGCGTTCTGTGCACAATAATATTTCTACGCTTTAGACACATTCCTCCTCAAAAATAAATAACCTAAAAAATGTCATTAAATGCATCCTGTATGCCACATCAAGTTATGCCAAAGTATTTCAATAGTAACGAAGAATTTTGTTCGAATCACGCCGTGATACAAAGTGGAACGATACTGTGTAATATCTGCCGTGAAAGAAGTAGCAAAACGAAGTCGAATTTCCCGCAGAAATTTTATCGAGCACCCTATAGGTAGAGCGTTGCGCAGCAGTCGGGCATCGGCGCCGTCGGCAGCGGTGGCCTCTTGTAGTTTTTGCTACGCCCTCTTCGCATGAAAATGATTCTTCCCCGGCGTGCTGTAGTAGGGATCGTCGACCATTGGTTATCGAACGTTTGACTGACAGCTCGACTATCTCGTGTCAGACCCGCGATGAAAGGGAGAAAGAAAAACAGCTTCTGGCCCCGTATTAACGCCCACCGACGATCCCGTGACGTTCTTTAAACTCACATCTCTTTCCGCCTCGGTTTGTTGCCCGTCACGACGCCGGTCTTAATACGCCGATGACTGACAGGTAGTAAACAAGTCCACTCGCCCACAGGATACCATCTTTGTCATAATTAACTCTTTCAGTGCCAAGCCGGTACGGTGTGCGCGTCAAACGTGTTTCTTGTGGCAAAATGTTTTTGGCTCTCGCTTTTTATTGTGTTTCTGATGTCTACATATATGTATTTAAGACGGGGGAAGAGTATCTTTATAAGAAACGTATGTAAATACAATATCCAGAAAGACACTATGTATGGATGAAACATGTGAGTGACTTTTAAGAAAAATATTTTACTTTGATCGATGTAAATATCCGGCGTTTAATTTGAAAGTAAACATAAACTTGTGCAAAACTGAGATAATTTTTACATAAAGCACAGTATATTTGTTAAAGATGATGTTTGAAAATAATTTTTTCGTTTCTTTTTTACAATGATAATATTTTCTGAATTTTCATTTATTATTTATTATAATGTCGTTGATACAAATACGATGATACAGTAGTAGAATGAGAGATTGGAAGTGAGAAACTGTAAAATAAGCTTGCACAAATATTTGACCACTGATATGTACTTAGCAGAATTTAAGTACTTTCTTACGTTCGAAGATGATTACCGAGTCCTAACCGACTGCTATGGCTCTGGCACTTAAAGGGTTAAAGATTTATTTCTCCTCTTATTTACGCTCGTAAAGACATGTTTCATTGCTTCTCTGTCATTATTTTCTCTGTTAAGGTATAAGATGTTACTTTAGAATACTTACAAACTTTTCTACAGAACTTTTCTAACATCTTTTAAATCTTGATAACTTTAATCAATTAATTATACTTGCAAAAAAAAAAAAAGAAACGATAGAAAACGATCATTCGTTTAACTATTTAATTTCAATAAGAGCAGCTCGATAAATTCTCTTAACAAATTAACATAGTTATAGCTTCACGGTTCTTCGTCAGGTTGAGTTATTGCCTCTCACTCTTTGATCACTTCTAATTGCACGTTCCTCGTAGCTTCAGTGTCACAGTAATTATTAGCTCGTTACAAAAAATCAACACGTTGAACGTGTTGTGCGGTAAATCGCATGAATAAAGTGCATGTACGCCATTGTGTAGTTTCCGCCAATCCATTTCATTTGAATTAATAACCGCCTCATTTTTCGGTTCTGCACACGACACGTGACTGCAGCAAACGTTTTAAATTCCTGATGGATTTGTTTGTCGTCAGGCTCGATTAAAACAGATTCTGGCTTTTGCGACTGCGTTTCTTTTTTTTTTTTTTTTTACATTTTTTCATTTACGTTATTTACATACACGTTTTATACGTATGTCATGTTAATATTTCTTAGCTAAATGTTAAGTAGAATCGCGTGTACATATCTTTTTTTTTTTAACAATATCGTTAATTGATTTACAATAACACGATCGATTCATATATTTATCGAATGAATTTTTCGATGCAGTATATAGAAAATATTTTTTATACTTGAAACAAGTTATCTCCAGAATAAGGATCACCGATGAACAAATTGGTAATAAAAAATTTTCATCCACAACAATTTATCGCGAAAAAATGAAAAAAAAGGTTTAAGTGAATTTTTATTGGCACGGTAGAAAAAAAAAATACGAAGTCTCGTTAATTAACAGAAACGGATAAGGATAAAAGATATCTCGGTACACGTGACATCATAGAATAAAAATTTACGTTGTAATGTGACGGCGTGACAGCGGCCGAGAGCCAACGATCGAGAACATTCTGTCGATTACGATATTTCGATGGACATTACGGATTACCCGGGAGTATTTTTCTTGGCCGTCGCCTCTCTCGTCGGCTCGTTAGAGCATACGCGACACTTTCATGTCTGGTAACAGCTGCGTTCAAATAGCATCGAGCACCCAAGAATTCGAAAGCGATGCAACGCGTCGTTTGAGGGAGTAAAATGAAGAAGAGAGGCGTCACCCTTTTCGCGTTCGCAACAGCAATGCGGAAGATGGGAAAAGAAAACGACGAAAACGACTGAACTTCTTTAACATTCGGTATTAGCTCGGAAGCTGAAACTTTAATCAACGAATATCGCGGCAGAAAATGAACGAACCAACCAGTGGTATATAGTATGATTAAAAGAACAAAATAGAGAGGTAGAGCTAAATTGTTCGAGTTACATAATACAGTTTTATGAAAAGTTTAATTTCTTATTGAAATTTAATTTAATTAAGTCTTGGAAAGAAGGCATTGCTATCGATGTTAAAATTTCTTAATATAATTGTCTATTATTCCGTTGATACACGAAACGAGAGAACTACCTTATCGATTGATAAAGCGTTCCTTCGATACTCGAGCGTTAAATTAAAACAATGGCCACCAGGAAAGGGAAATAGAAAAAAGGGGCGTATGAAAAAAAATGAGATACAGAGGAAGGCTTCATTGTTAATTATTCTCATGAAAATTAATAGAGGAGCAACAAAACAATGGTTAAATTTGCAGTGCTTGACTTTTGATGAACGATAAGTACGGTTGGAGGAGCATGAGGTTTGTTACCGCGAAAAATATCAGAGAATGAACGATGTATGACTACTGTCCGTTTCCTTCTAACCATGTGTACAAATATTTTCACTTTTATAGAAAAATATCGAATAAAAAAAATGTAATTCAAGTCATTTATCTAAAAATGTACAAAATTTAAATTGCACAGAACAGACTTGTACAAATTATACCAAAGAAAAGATAGGGTAAAATATGAAGCACTAACGTGCATGAAGAGATAATTTGGTGTTTGATCCCAACCAATGAAATAGAAAGAAGCACATGAGAAGCCTTAAGGCAAAAAAAAACCAAGTTTAAACGCGTTAAGGCCGTTTCGATGTCTGTGTGTATGTGTGCGTGTATGTAGGATGCAACTGTGGAAACGAGCCACGCTGACCGTTCACCGTCAGCGATAATATTTTAAATGAAAGCGGCAAGAGGGACGACCGGCACAATAAATATCGGGTTTAACGGAAAGACTCGAGCGTGGTGGAAGCACCACTTGCAAGTAATGGTATCTCTGTTCACCTCCTTTTTCTACCGCTTCTACCGTACGGGCGCCACCTTCTTTCTCTTGGCCACCTCGCGGCGTTCCCTTAATGTATCTAACTCTTCTTCTTTTGTATCGATATTTTCTCTTGCTCACTCACACTGTCGAGCTATTCGATCACGGGGAGAAGTTTTGATAAAATGTCAGAAGTATGACTATTCCCATTACTTCGAGAAGAATGCAATTCCGTTATATATTCTTATCCCATTGTTAGGTTAAAGTTTAGATATTGTATGGTCGGTGATTTTTGTAGAATTGGGTTGCTCTGTCTATATAGGTTGGGGGTACGTGAAATGTACTATTCATGTGAAAAATATTTGTTTGCAAAGAAAAACACCGAGGAAATTTAAGAAATTCTTTTTTATTATACAGAAGTACAATCACATTTATGAAGTTAAATTCAAAAACAAATATAATATAACGATGGAAAATGATCGATTTATCTTGTAAATAGTCGTTCTATACAACAGGAAATACAATGTCCTATTAAAAGAAAAGATTCTTAGTGTCCTTGACGTACCTTCTTTGTAGAGTCTCTACGCTTATACTTAATCTTAAAGAAGAAAAATAAAAGTAAGTGAAACAGTCTGAAAACACGCCAGTATCTCGAGTTAACGCAAATTACAGAAAATTGTATTACTTTAACAGCGTAATTTGGCTGTCGCGAATATGTACTTCCTTTCCTTTATTTTTCTTCGATAACTATCGCCCGCGTATCCGCAGTTTTTCGGGTGTCGTCGCCTTGTCAGCCAGTAGTATGTGTCGCAGCACTTTATTTATTCATACCTAGGGGACGTGTATGGGGATTGGGGAAAATTCAAAAGGAACGTTCGGAATGGGAAGCAGAACTGGTGCCAGCAACAGTGCTGATGGTGTTGAGACCGTCTAACGATGACATTTAAATGCAGTGCCGCGCATCGTTTGGTTCTTCGTGCCACGACGATTCTCTCTCCCTTCCCGTCGTCCCTTGCTTTTCCTCCCGTTTCTGAGCTCATCCCTGCTCGAAATACGTAGGGATGTGTTATAAAATGTATGATATTTCTATCCTTCCATCTTTTCGTTTCTCTTTTTCTCTTTTCTTTCTTCGTTGTTTCCTTGGATTAAAATCTAAGATTGATCTTACGAAGAGGGTATAATTGATATAATCATATTTTTCGTTCTTTTCTTCTTGCAGTGTAATTCCGTGAGAATTATTGGAAGACTAAAGGTAGTTAGAAGAGCATTTAAATATCAGAGGCCCCGGAGGACCTGGGCAACGATGGAAGCTGCCAGACAGGAATGATAGGTATCAATTTTATTTGATAAAAACTTCCATTTTTTATTTAGCATTATTCTTATTGGCAAAGTGTAAAGTACAGGGCAATGTACACACTGTCTAACCTATCTATACCTTACCAATGCAGTTTTAACAACATAAGAAATAATACTTTAGAATGAAAAAGAAGACAAAAATAAGGTAAAAATAACAGACATAAGGAAATAAAATGATAAACATAAAAATAAGACAATAAAAAAAAAGTTATTTCCAAAGTCCATCGTTGCCAGATTTTAGACTTTGCTGGTATTATTATCAAAAAAGTGGACAATTTAAAAAGAGAAACTGGTCTTTCTTTCTTTCTTTCTTTTTATGAATTGATTTGAGAGAAACACATGATAATTTGATGTAGAATGCAAGAGGGTAGCACCGCCGTGGCGCTAGCGATGGTGACTCCTGGCTACGATCAGGACCCTGCAAGTGGGGTTGCCGATTACACGACCCATCAGGATCAGGCTCAGTTCGAGGCAGACAAGAGGGCAGTTTACAAGCATCCCCTCTTCCCGTTGCTCGCGTTACTTTTCGAAAGATGCGAACAAGCTACACAGAGCTCGGACAACTCGACGTCCGAAAGCTTCAACATGGACATACAGGCCTTCGTCCAACACCAAGAAAGAGACCGAAAGCCTTTCCTGATCAATGACCCCGAAATTGACGGCTTGGTATGTTGAATTCTCATCAAAACTTCATCGATCCACTCACGAATCTTATAGATCCCTGGGGATCGTAAATTTCTGTTAAGATTAACCTCCGTTCATCCTCTCTAGGGATTCAACTCCAATTCAACTTTGCATTCGTAAATTTGTAATCTAAATAAGGCCGATCATTTTCGAAATCTACTTTGGAAGACGATCAATTTGTACCTGAAGTCTTACTTTTTTATTATTATTTTTTTTTAATCGATCGCTGTGTAATTATTTTTCCAACAGAAATTTTAGTAACGTTTAAAAAAATAGCTAAAAACTGTATCTAAGCGTGAAAGGAAAACTTGTTAATTTTTTTTTTTTTTTTTTAACCAAGCTTTCATCAATGCGATAAAACAAAGACGAGAAATAATGAGCGACGGTGCGCGGCACCGGTAACGAAAAGAAAGAAAATCGTCGACATTGTTTTTTCTTTTTTTGTTTCTGCCCGTGCCGACGCAGATGATCAAGGCGATACAGGTGCTACGGATTCACCTACTCGAGCTGGAAAAGGTGCAGGAGCTGTGCAAAGACTTTTGCAACAGGTACATCACGTGCCTGAAGGGCAAGATGCAAAGCGAGAATCTGCTACGCAGCGATTACAGCCACCATGGACACGACATGGGTCCGTCGAGTGGCAGCAACGGAAGCAGCCCCTTACAGGTTAGATATTATTTCGAAACGTTTCATATAAAGCGGCCTGGCCTCTTTCCCCCTTCACCTACGTAGTTATCCTTTTTTTTTAGTGATGCGCAAGAATCGCAAGTAATAATCTCGATAATGCTCCAAGCTACGTGCCTTCTCTGCGTTTGTCTCTGTCTCTCTCTCTTTCTCGCCTCACTTTTCTAACACTGAAATGGCTTCAAAAAAAAGAAAAAGAGTTTTCTCCTCTGTTAACATTAACAACCACCTTGTACAGAAACTGTATCATACTTTTTTTTTTTTTTTTTTTTTTTTTTAAAAAAAACCCGTTTTTGTGTGCCTTTGTATATAGTGTATCGAGGTATCGGTCGATCAACTAACTCTCTCTCTCTTTCGCTGTATATCTCGTTCTCGTGTGTACACTGACCTAAATGTAGCGTTTAGTGGTAGCTAAATAAGGCACCGATTGAGGAAGGTATTTAAAAGTGGATCTATAGACGCTTCATTGGTAGATAGCGAGTAATTAGAGAAAAGTATTTGATTCGTACTCTGTGTATGCAGCCGTACTCGATAAATCTTCAACGTCGATTCACTTGGAAATGAAGCTTCGTATAGAAGAAAGAAAAATGTTACTCTATACTTTCGACTCATTTTTTCGTGTAAATTCACCTTTGTATACAGGGTGTCTCGTTTATAACGAACGTCTGAATTAATTCCGCTGGTATTGAAAGTAAGAAAAATGACTACAAGAAGTTTATATATTTTGAAGGCGTGTATCTGGTGATGATAAGAAAAAAATCCTCTTAAGGTCATTTGAAGGTCATTGATATCTTGCATATTAACATTTGCTTTTTATAATTCGACTTCAATTCGATTCAACTTATCACATGATGATCTTAAAGAGAACTTAAACAGTAAAAACTCGATGACCTTGAAGTGTCCTTCAAGATGACCTTAGGACGACTTTTCATTTTATTCTCATCAGATTCGTGTACTCAAATCATATAAATTCCGTTTAGTCACATTTTTCTTACTTCCAGCAACAAATAGTTTCGATGCTCGTTATAAATGAGACACCCTGTATTGTACTATTCAGTGTACACACAAACGACTATACATGGATTGAGTACTTTCTACAATATCCTCAACGTCTAATGGAATTTTAGGCGTTTGAAAATTAACAGCACGTTGCCTAGAACCCTATTAGCGTTAAACTGTTTCTAGAAACAGCTAAATCAAAGAGTAGTTGTAAGAATTTACATTTAAAGATTGAAAATCAGTCAGTGGGATTTGAAGTGAAAAAGAAAGAAACGAGCGATACTTGCGCGTTGCTCAAAATATTATAGAACCACCCCACCCCTGCTCTCTGACGGCTAGTTGCGACATATATTTCCCAGGTGCTGTCTTCTACAGGCAATGATGTTGAGTCGGGAGCTAACGGATTCAGAGTGAGCAGAGGCGAGTCCCTGTCGGAGAACGGTGGTGCGAGTCAGATGGCTGCGCAAGAGGAAACCGGTAACGACAGGCCGCCGTCGGTGCGATCATCTTCCACCGCTCAGCGCTCAAACAGATCCTCCAGCCAGGACCATGACGATCCTTTGTCACCTTCCACGGTACACGGGAGCACGCCCTTATCGCAGATTGGGGCTCATTCTTGTGCACCAGTCAACGATATGTATCTCGGTCAAGGTAGGTTTTGTTAATTAAACAACTGACACATGTGAGTTAATGTAACAAAATGAACAATTAATAATTCTCTATCGTTTTATTTTCTTTTTTTTGCTTTATAGTTAGGAACTATTCTCGACCCTCGACCAGTTAGATGAAGCAAAGATAGAGGATATATGAAGTACACAACAGTGTTTTATTTTCTGTTGTTGAAATGTTCTTTTTTTTTGTTTATATTATTTCATTGTAAATACGGTTTCATCTTATTGGTCGATGGTTGTGTAAATATGTAGGAAGATGTAAGAATCTGAAAAAGCAAGTAAAATGGATTAGGTGTTGATCGAAACGTAAGCATTTTAAACTTACGTTTATAGATGATATGGACTATGTGAATATTGGCGACAGAATATATTTAGAAGAAGCTGGCTATTGGGGCCTTCTTGCCTTACAAGAACGTGAGAATGAATACGTCGATGTCGGAGATGCGAATGACGAAAAGTATTTTGGTTAGATGAACTTGGTTGTTTCTTACCGATGACTAATCTTTTCACTTCAATATTAATTACTAATCAAACATCTGAATTTCAACTAATGATTATAAAAATAGTTTAAAAAAAGAAAAACATAAAACATTCTGCAAATACTGTACGAAGAGGGTTTTATGAATTAATCAGAATAATTATATTGCGTTTTTATTGTGTCTAGATATTACTGTGGCGGGCTCCCCTTCACCAGCACCCAGTGAAGACGAAGACGAAGGATGCGGCACTGGCACTGCTACTTCAAATCACAGTAGTGGTCACGGAGGTAGTCATAGTAGCATTAAGAAAGGAAGACAAAAACGAGGCGTCTTACCTAAGCAAGCTACGAGCATTATGCGAACTTGGCTCTTTGAACATTTAGCTGTAAGTGTAGACTTTTATTCGATAGTAATCAATTTCAAGGAAGGTATAGTCGTTCATATTTATATTCCAACAAATTAGAGAATTTCTATATTTTCTCAGACATTCTCACTTTTAATCCCTACTAAACCTGTGTCACTTTCACTGTGTAGTTAATTTTACGAGTACCACAAGGAATACCTGTCTATTGTCTAATGAAATATAACAGAAAAATAATAGATCGTAAATATGAATATGCGATACATTTTAGCATCCCTACCCTACGGAGGATGAGAAACGTCAAATCGCGAGTCAGACGAACTTAACGTTGCTGCAAGTTAATAACTGGTTCATCAACGCTCGCCGACGAATCCTCCAGCCGATGCTTGACGGCGCCGGGGCGGATCCGGTACAGCGCGCCGGGAAACGTCACAAGGTGTCGAAGCACGTGGTGCAACAGCAGCAGGTGCAACAGCAACAAGGTGGCGGCTGGCAATCGGAAGATTCCGGGAGCGATTCAGGCTCCAGCGACGGTGAGGGAGGTGCCGATAGATCGAAAGACGGTAACGATAGCGACGATGATGATCTTCACTGACCTCTGTCGATCACCGAAACGTCAACCTCTTTACGGTACCTTCAAATCCAGTTGCTCATTACAGTATTAAGGTATTCGAGAATAGATTTCGCTTTAACTGTCAAATACGTAATTATTCTCGCGAAAATCAAGGGTATTATTGGTCGAGGTTATCACGCTCTCTTATCGGATTCGACAGTTTCGATCTCCTTCACTATCCATGGAGCATTTTTGCGTTTCTATGCGTCGTTACTCGTCAACTTCGATCCGAGAAAGATTTTTTAAAACAAACAAACAAAAACAAAGACGGTTTGAACGAAAACACTGTACAATTCAATCTATGTAACGTGTTCTTTTCTTTTCTATTCATTGTAAAGGTAATCCTGATCATGATGACAAGTAACTTTCATTTATCTAGTGGAATATAGAAAGTTCAGCTACTACGAAGCTTCTTTTGGAATTGTTTTTTTTTATTGTATCAGTTTGATTGATTCGTTGCTAAGCAAGCAATTCGTTTCTTGCGGCTGTTTAATTCTATTGACGACTGTTAATTTTTATGTATGTTGTTCAATGTGATGAATGGAGGTGCTGCAAACGCACGTCATCGTTTTTGTATCATGTATCGTATCGTAGAACACGGTTATCCACATTTATCGAGCGTCATTTTAGTTGATTAGAGCGTAGTTCTAACGTCGACAACTGATTTTGTAAGGGCAAATTATTTTCGAACAAGACTTGAATATTCGCGTACAAAGGATGATCCATACGGCAAACGAATGTTTGCCCTGTAACGTGTACATTTATTCTACGGTTATAAATTGCAGAGGAATGTTTTACTCGTTTAAATGATACGATTAAAAGAAAATGGTTACGGCTAAGACGATAACAAACAAATCAGTGTTACTGTTTATATATATTTTTATAACGAATTTTATTTCCTTCAAGATGCGTTTTCTCCTGGCCTCGATGTTGAACAAAAAGAATAAAAATAGAACAGGAACAGTACACGATTGGGAATCATAAATTCTCTAAGAAAGGAAAAACCATTTTTTTTTTTCGTTCGTTTGCTAACAAACTATGTTGCTTTATTTTCAAACATTCAAAAGCATATTTATATATATATGTCTGTTGAAGTTACAGACAGATTAATCTCTGAATTTTCTAGGAGGAATTTCATACGAAAGACTAACAAACAGTGTTCGAAAGCAAAATGAAAAGATCAACGTTTGACCATTGTGTAATTGGTTCGGTCAGTCTCACATGGCTAAAACTCGGATTCCTGAATCGTTCTGACAGAAATAAGGAATATTTCTGTAAAGGGGGATACTTTAGTACTTTTTAATAACGTTAATCGAAATCGTCCCAACGAGACTATGTATAAATATATAGGAATCTTAAATGTAACGACACGAATGAACGGTCGTTCTAAACCCTTCCTAATTAAAAATAAGCTGTAACGATATTGTGCTACTATGTTTTAACACAGACGAGATATGTGTCTCCATATGATCGGTCAACAGTCATCGAAAAATGAGAAAGAAATCTGAATCCTAACAAAACGAAAAAAAAAAAAACAAGAGAGGAAAGAAAGAAAAACATTTCACCCTTGGAAGAAAGAATCAAAGCGAATCAAAAGACGATTGCTAATGATCGGTCAATAAGACGATAACAATCTCGATCTTGTACTCTTCGTGCCATTAAAGAGCGTGGTAACTTCCGCGTTTAGTCTTTGTTCAGCTCGGCAGTGTCGTGACATAGCGAAGTGCTATCCCTCCAAGATAATAATAATAATAATAACAATAATAATAATATTATTATTATTAATGATATTATTATTACGATTAATATTATATTTTTAAACTCTAAGTGTCGTCTTTAAAGAAGAAAAAAAAAACTGAAAAAAAAAACGCGCGTACCGCAGTTGGAACGAAAGTGTGGTACTGCTGTATATATATAATACACAAGAACTGTTAGAGTTAAAGGGGGAGAGGAATCTTAGTGTGATTATTCGGAGAAATGAGAAACGAGAGGAAGAAAAGAAAGAAAGAGGCGAGGAAGGAGATTAAAAAAAAAAAGTAACACACTACCTTTTCATTGTATCGGAAAACAAAAAGAAAGAAAAAATGTCTTACGGTCCGACGACAAGCACACATGCCATCTTTAGGATTTATAAGTGTTCAAACATTCGCTGTCTGCATATGATCGGTTGCGTTTTACTGAAAGTGTCCTCCAGATCGCGAGTGCTGAATACTTTAGCGACGTGTAACTTTTGTACCACAGTATAAAACGGACGGAAGACTAATAGGTCCGTGTTTCTATTGTTCAAAGAAAGAAAACGCAAAAAAAAGAAAACCATCGTTTCAGGTCTCGCGCAAAATAGATCGATCGTGTGTACATATTATATACGATGCTCTTCCTGCGTACACTTGTCTTCGAATTACCTCCTTTAATTATTTCCAAGCGTTCCGTCCATCGCATTTTTCAACAACCGTTGAGAGATTGTCCTAAGATCTACGACTGCCTTCGAAGCGTGACAAGCATTTTGTAGAGACGTAATAAGTTTTAAAACAGGAGTCACACTGTGTTCTAACGATGATTTTTAAACGATGTTTCCCATTGCCGTTCTCTTAAACTGCTCAAATGTTATCGCTATTATTGTACTTCACTTATTGATTTTCTCCACTATCTTTATGTTCTTCAGTTATCTTTTTTCTTTTTTTTTTTTTTTCTCTTTTTTATCAAGTTGTGTAAGCGCGTCAAGCGATTGGATATTTAACTGGGGAAAAAAACAAAGCGTTACATCGAGATTAACAAGTTGTATGGAAAAAGAAAAAGAAATGATTCTCACTCGCAACGAGTTTCGTAGGATTTCTTAATAGACTACACCGGTGTCATTGATTCCTAGTATGCAGCACTCTAACGATTTCTCTCAGCATGGTTTTCCACGCATGCGATCGCAAAGAGATTTTATAATCTGTGAGTGTGTATGATTCAACGCTAGTCCGCTGATTGAAACGCATCGAGGATTGTCCGCATGCCCGTAGTTAATATTCAAAATGTTGGACATCCTTACTAGAAGAACGTATACGTAGAGCGATAAAATTAAGCCGCAGATATATGCAACGATAGACGAGAGATACACGAGAAACACGCATCGTTGCTTCTAATTTGATTCATGCGGTCCGATCCTCAATGCCCCCCCCCCCCCGGAACACGTGTGAAAGAGAAGTCCAAAGCCGTTGATTAGATCAGATTTACTTCGCAATTAAACCGGTATCCTACTTTTCTTCCGGTATATAATCGATGTACATAGCCGACAACAGGCACAGGGTGCTTCCATTAGTGGCTTACGAGCTTTTTCCGAGCATTGTTTCAGACAGACCGATTTCTATTGCAATAATTGATCAATGAAATCGAAACTTTTTAACCGGAAGCTATATTAGACGGAAGAAGCAAGTTGATCGAGGCTTAGTAAAACGGTATCATCAGTTGAAGACAGCTTTTATTACAGTATAGCTCCATATACGGTGTAGTGATTTAAGTGGAAAAAAAAAGTATATATATATAGGTCGAACGATCGTGGTCAAGATAAAAGAGTGTCAACGAAAAATCGCTGATTTTGATTGTCTTGCGAATAGTTTATTTGAACGGTGTTTTCTACTTTGCTTTTATCTCAAAAGAGAGAATCAGCGACTTAAACGTGCCCACGATTGCTCTTACCTATTAGATCGTCGCTGTTTTTCAAGTACCAGCAATAAATGCGCACTCTCCATAAAATAAAAAATAAAAAGAATAGAAACTAAGAATCGTCGGCTCGTATCACGTAAATCACCTGGTACGGGACTATACTGTACACTTTTGACTAAGTATAATAATAAAGTAACGATAGTTTAAGAGGTAGGTTGTAAGGCTGAACCACGTATACGTATGTGCTGCGGCACCAGACGACTGTGATAACTCGGTGAGCGGTGCCCAGCCTCCTACTTCATACTTGTATACTGAAAATTATGGAATACTTAAAGACACACACGTACACACACACGCACACACAGATACACGCGTAACAGACATGATACAAAAGCCAGAAACAAATATACAAGTAGAAACATTTACCAGAAAAAGGTTGAGTGTATGTTGGAGCTTGCATTGGGAAATCTTAGTGCTAGGTCCGAAGGCTTACCTGAAATGTTCTTGTTGCACTTTTTTTTTTTTTTTTTAATCAGTGGTTCTTGTCGAGCGTGCTTGGTTTGAAAGTACCTTAACAAACTTAGAGGAAACAGAACTATTGATACTTTTTAGGTATTTTGTACAGTTTGTTTATTGGATATGAAAAAGCAAAAGAAAAAGAATAGATTGCTTAACAATGAAAGATATAAGTTTACTGTAACTATATTATAACATACATAGTACATATATCATAATTGTTTATTTTGAAACATAATACTAGAGAGGAATATTGAAAAGTGGAAACTAGAATCACTGAAGCATATGAACATTTTCATCCTTCCAGGTGCATGACGACGGACCTCCGAATAAATCTCTAATGTTGTTGCATTAGCGATTGAAGTGCAAGCTCTAAAATATTTAAGAAGATAGGAATGGACCAAAAAGTGAGATGATAATAAGAATTTTGGTACAAGATTAAGTCTAATGTTCTGACTGCCTGGGTTTGTTGATCTGTTTGTTTATCTTCTATAGATTTTTATAATTAATATGCCGAGAGTAATATGAACTTCGTATGTTACATTTTACATATTATTTCATGATGTTTTGTACCGTTATACCGTTAGCCCCTCATATCGCGACATTGTAACTTAAGAGAGTATTCTGTGACAGAGTTCTAGAACCTTCCTGTGTACACTGATTCCGCATGTTTAAAAAGTCATTTATGGAAGGTTGAACAAATTTTCTTGTTTTGCTGTAATTATAATGCAAGGGATAAGTGTAACTCAGTCATGTTACTTACTTTTGTTTTACATCTGTAAAGCAGATTATTCAAATTTTAGGTTTCTCTTTTTCTTAACTTTATCTGTGTTATGAACTGTTAATTTTCATATTATGTTTATCTATATTTTTTTTACATCTCGTTAAATTTTATTGTTTCATTAACTTTGATGTCAATAAATTATAGAGATGTTTATAAAAGACATTTTAGTTCATGCGTTTTACAGATGCTTAAGAGATCAATTTAAAATATCCCTTTATTTTGTACTTTTTCATGAATATTTAAATATACTGTGACAAATGTTTGTACGATATTGCAAAACACACGCGCATATATGCTAACACGAAACAAAAGGACTTTCTAAGGTCCATTCCTAACTTGGATGAAATTTTAAGTCGTAAATTAAACGTATTACATACTTACATACATACTAAAAAGAAAGCATAAGTAAACAACTTGAATACTTCTCTCTCGTGTACATCAAGGTCCTGTTAAATAAGTTGTTTATTGATAATAAACGCCATCACGCTTGCAATACGTGTTTCTGATTTTTAACGTAACCTTAAAGATATTAATAGAACAACTAGTTTTTCAACAAATGATTATACATTAAGCGAATAGCAAGTAGTGCAACAAAATTTATTTCTTACCAGTTACTAGAAAAATATATCAAATTATTAAGAGGATTTAATAAATTTTAAATATACCAATTCACCATATAAAATATTTTATTATCGATAATAAGATCGTGTAATTCATACATTTAACAAAACACCAGTCAATTACATCGCTTATCATACTTGTATACTTTTAAAAAAGTATGAAATTGCAAGTAATTACAGGTAATTATGTATAAAAAATTCTAGGTCATAATGAAGAAGAAAAGAATTCAGTAAATGATATTTCCTTTCATAACATATTTACAGTATCTATATAAAATGCATTCAAATTGTCGTACATACAAACGCCTTTTTGGCACGACTTTTTTTACAATTGATTTTAATCCTTAACAAAAGGACTCTTAATTTTTTCATTTTTCTTTGCAACTTTTTTGTATGAACTCCTACATTACATAATCTAAATTTCCTAAATCATCGAAAGTATTAATTAAAGAATAAATATTGCAATTATACAAAAGAGATACTGAGAATATGGAATAGTTAATATATATTGTTAAATAAATTACTTTCTTATTTTTCTAAGTTTTTTTTTGAAAAAAATTTATTGTGTATAAAAATTTTTCTATGAAATAAATCTCTAAAGTTCTTATTGTAACGAATGGCAAAAATCTTGTTTGAATTAGGTTACGTTACATTATTATCGCATTCAAGTATTCCGAATAATTAACTAACTATTTTTGGGTATCGTGAGCAAGGATCAAGTTAAGCGAATTAAATATCCTGCATTAACATTAATTAATTCATTTACGATACAGGATAGCTATAATAAATAAACAGAAAGATACAAAATTAATTGCTAAAAATTATTAGATGTTAAACCTCGATTCTACTGCGAATAGTAGAATCAAATACGTGCATGACATTTGTAATACTAAATGTTCATGAGCAAATGGACATGGAATTAAATAATCGTCGAAAGTACTATATCGATTAATCACACTGGCTGCAGATGTTAAATGTAATTGCGCGTATAAGTAAAGCACGTACGCTCATCGTTACGTAGAAAAGAATTCTGATGAAAACAAGAATTCAATTACATTTTCTAGTGGTAGCATACCCTGCTTTTCTCGTAATACAGGCGTAATACTCTGTAAGTATCAGCTTTCTGTGGAAATAAAATTAAAAATTCCACCCTATTATTCATTGAATACACATATTGCACATTTATAAAAAAATGTATATGTTTTGGAGTATATGTAATTATCGATAATATCAGAAAAGGGGACGTGACAAACGAATAGGACGTGACTTTAAGCGAACGCGCGAATCATTTCTCGTTATTATACTAACAGGTGCAAAAGTTTGATTAAATAGTCATCATAACATCGCGATAACGTTGGAATGAAACGTCGGTGGCATCGGAATATATTTTAATATTGAGGTATAAAAAATTGTCCGAGGGCGTACCACACATACATTCAAAGGCTAGTTACTGGAACATCATCTTCACGATGATCCAACCTGGTCATTGATATGTGGTCCGCAGCGTACCCCTAGCAACTTGTTCTTCTAAAACAAGTTACTTCAATACTTAATATAGCAGACAATTAAATCAATGTTGCGGAACATTTCGTTTAAAAATTATCAAATTACCTTGAGTTAAATAAAATATCAGCTCGGGAACTGATGAACCGTACAAGAACGAATGATACAACAGCTACAGAACTACCTAAAATCATTGAGAGTCTTTCTGTAGCTGCTGAAGGTTTCAGGAACATTCTTACACTTAACGTTTCCCATATAGATTCTGTCCACGTAGAGTACATCCTTGATTTCATGTCGTATCCTGTTCAAAATATACAAAAATAGTAACACTGTATTTTGAAACAAGTTCGCTTTTCATAATGAACAAACGTACCGTCAATTAAAAATGCTGGACTCATAGCTGTACTATAATTTACAGTGGAATTGATACAAATGCCTGTAAAATTATCGCCAGCCATCCAAATAAGGTGATTTTCATAACATGCTGATTCGTTCATATTTGGCACTTCCTTTCTAGTCAGAAACGCAAGAAGTTGGCCAGTTAGTGTTGTGGCAGTATTTGGGTCTCTATGTACACTGACATATAATGGTAAAACTTGATTAATTAATTTGGTGTTTGGAGACGAAGCAGCGCGGAACAAATTGCATTTAGCAGTTTCCAAATAACATATTAACATTTCAGAAATGTGAGATTCGACAGTTTGAAACGAGTCATTCACGAATGGAGGCCGATTTCCAGTTATATTTTCGTAAAGAATTTCGGCGACATACATTGCTATTTTTGCTAAAGCAGTTGAAAGCCCATTTGTGTCGCTTCTAAAAACAAAATATTTTATGTAATAAAGATTAAAAACAAAGTGTAATTCACATATATAATGCAGATTGAAAGTAGTACCTGTTAAAATCAAGGCTTTCTGTATCATCCAAAATTCCATTGTAATATTTATTTTCAAACTGTGCGCCGTGATCACTTATAACAACAGCAGTTAAATTTGGGTTTTCTTTCAAGAAACTTTGTATAGATGTAGGCGGGACACTACCTTCCAAAATTGTTGCGTTCAACGCATTTTTCAGTTTATTTATTATTTCATTATCCTTTCCATTATTAGAATGAAGATGTAACTTTCCTTTGTTCAACTGACCAAATTCGATCACACTTTTAATGTCATCAAGCTTTAAATTTACTCCACCTAATGCATTGAAATTACCTTCCTTCAAATCATAAATTAATCTACTAGATCCGATATAGTCGAAAGCTTCGCCGTTTAGTAAAGAGAAAACAACGTTTGTATCTGAAATAGAAAAAATATAAACAACAATTACATTTTTCATTATGTAAATATTGTGCATATTATTATACTTACTATTAAATACAGTATCTTTAGCTAAGGTATTCAAATAATAGGCAGTGGCAAGTAGTGTTACCAATCCTGTAACTACATTGCCTGCTCCAGGTGATATTCCATCAAATAAAGAAGAAGCATCTAATCTGGCTGTTACTAATATTATGGAATTTTTATCTTTATTTATGGGACCCAAAGGCCAATGTATATTCCTATCTCCCAATGGGTCACAAAAATGTGTTGTATGAAAGTTCAATTTAAAATCACCACGTTTAATACAAGATTCAGAATTAATTGCTGCAAACATGAATGATTTCATCTCCAATGTACATAAAGATCTATAGGACTGACCTTCTAGATCATATGCATTATGTTTCCAGAAGCAAGATTTTATAGCTTCTATCAATGTTTGATTCTGAAATTAAAAATTGATAATTTTAAATTTTTGTAATGTACATGTTAAAAAATATAAAAATTTTAAAAACAGTTCAATGATATAAGAATTTGAAACATACCTCTGTGTAAAACATTGGAAATGGCCAATCTTCCATAAGTAATTTGGATCCATAAGGATTCCAAGGTGAAGCATCACTGCACCCTTTATATCCTGCATACCTGTTGGGACAAGTGTCTTCAGGAGAATAAAAATTCGGACGTGCTTGACTGATATTTTTGGCTAATAAAACTCCATTTATATTATTTGTATCCTTTAACCGGTGTAACATATCCTTGGTAAACATTGAGAATGGAAGGAGTACTGTGTAAGGTCCAGCAGTGCTATTATGTTCAAGCCATCTGATATCACTTTCTGCCTCAATTAAATGAATAACACCAACACTTCCTGTTCTACTTGCTATAACCAAAAACAATAGATATAATTGTTACTTTATTATTGATAATCTTACTATTTCAAACAAAAGAAGAACTGTGATAAATTAAAAAATTAATTACTTAAAAGAAAATTATGTTAAAAAATTAATATTGATTAAATGAAATTATATAATAGAAAAAAAATAATGTACTATGACATTATAATCTTACAAGAACATCCGAATTGATGTGTTCCATTGTGTCTACGGAAACAAGCAGCAACTCCTTCAAAATTCATGTAAATCATATCTTTTACTCGTTTTGCAGCCACTTAAAAACACAATTTTACAGTTGTTAAATTTTACTGCATTATTTATATAATGCATAAAAATGGCTGTAGTTGATAAAAATGTAGAAGTGTTAAGCGACACGTTTTTACAACTTAGTTTTACTTTACAATCAAAATTTCATAACTTTACATCATACTTTATTAAATTATTCATCCATTAAAAAAAGCTTATAATAATCTAAATTATATCTATTATATCTTCAAAGCAAAATTTTACGATTTTTGTAATTTCGTATTACCTTACCTAGATTTACAATAAGATATATTAGAAGATATCCATAGCCTAAACATTTTGCCATTTTTCCCTCAGTAGTGGCACCTGTCAAAAATTTGTTTTATTTTTTTTTATGACCACCACCGCAAACCCTCTTCGTAAAGGTTAGACACGATGACACAAATGCATCGCGTGAATCACGGAATAATTGAGCGTTTCATATTTCGCTTGGTTTTAGCTCCTACCGCCACCACTAAACTGTAACTACTAGAAACTGCATTTGGCGTCTGATTTTTTGAACCACTATGGTAAATCAGTATCGTTGAAATTAATTTGTTTCATTAAATTGCAATAGAAGTAACTGAAATATTTCATTATTTTCTAAAAGTAATTATATCAATTACTATTTATGAATAACTTATTGCATAAAAATAATACAGTAAATGTATCGTTTCAATTATACATGCTATGCCGAAATAAATAAAATTAAAAAGAAGTTCTTTAAAAGATGTGCAAGATATGGATATTGAAAAATTGATTTAAATATTTGTCAAAAAAATAATTAATTGAATTAAGCTACCCCTAAATGTTACACTCCTGAGTGTCGTTCATTAGTCATTCTCACTCATTCCAAGTTACACGTTGCACCTTAGTATTAGTTCATCACGACACCTACACGCAAAACGCTGAAGTAAAAACTCTTTTCTCTTATCTTTCTCCATTCTATGCATTCTTCTTTTTAAAGTAATCTTCGATAGTAACAGTATCTTGGCTTTCCTGTTAATTGTTTGAAAATCCCTTACATTTTTTTAAATTGAAGCTGACAAGTCATCAACAAAACGTTATATGTGGTAAATGAGTTATATGACACGTAAAAGTAATTAAATATCTTGATTGAATTTTGTGATTATTAAATCTTTTATGTAATTTTCCCTTGATAAATGCAACAAAAAAATTCATTTTATTGTTTGTAGAAAAATCGAAAGTCATGCGAGTTTCGTGAGACAAGAAATTCAGCAGTCCTCAAAGAAAAACGATAATTCTTGTAAGTTGTGTGAAACAAGGTAAACGACCTCACTTATAAATTACGAAGAAGATTATTATTTGATGAAAGTGATTAAAAGAAACAACTAACATATTTTTAATTGTTTTCGTCACAAAAACATTGTTAAAAAACACAAACAAATCAGATTCAAATAAATAATTGAAAAACAACCACTATTTTCACGTATGATTGAATTTATTTATTTTGCCGCCTTATTTGCTTCTTCATTGAGATCATTTTAATTATTGCGCAACGAAAACGACGAAATTCAAAATCCAAATCAATGAACGAGTTCGAAGAACGAACATAAAATGTATACTCGTATAAAGCTTAGTTTTTTATTCGATTAACATTACAACGAAATTCTTTTGCTTTTTTCATTTTATTAACTTCGCCTAGCTTCGTGATTTCTGAAAACGTGAATTGGGACATGGTATATGTATTTTCTCTGGACAGAGACGCAGAGAAAACGGCACGCGACATGATGACACATGTCACACGAACGTCTATATAGGATAATCGTGCACGAGTATACCTATAAAGTACATTCAGGTATCAATAGGCGCGGTGCACGTGAGCGCGGAAACACGTGTATCAGCTGTCGATAACGTGCAGCAGCGTCGCGCGCGACTGAAACACTTGGCTGTGCCCAGGATTTAGGTCGAGACCGGTTTGCAGGAACCGGTAAAACATTCATTACAACACGAAATTCCTTTCGTGCATCAATTTCAGTGGTGCGACACGTGGATCGAATTTTTTCCAACGAGAAGTACCGACAATATGGTGTAAAGATATACGCGTTGTTTTATTTCGGTTTTACAACGTGCTCTACATAAAACGAATATCTGCGTTCAATAGGTGTGATCGTTTATCGGGCGGCAATTCGGACGGTTATAAGTTATAAGGTGAAAACACGTGACAGAATGTAGAAGTTCAACGAGCGAGCACGTTGCAGGATCGACTGCATAACGTTCAGTGGCAAGGAAAGTTGTAATACAAGCAGTTGTTAAATGTTCTTTCGGAAAGTGGTAGTTTTTGTTGGAAACGACGATGCGTTATTGATAATTATTGATTAGAAGAACGATTCTGTTACGAGACGACGAGCGTGGTAATTATACGCGTGTCTGTTCCAGGTACAGCTTGACGAGCAAACGAATCGGATGCTGGCAGCGAGCCACTGCGAAAGTAAATGGGTTTCGCTTTCAGGCAACACAATTTTCCTCCGCAAAAAACTTTCTACCCATCTGTCAGCTTGTGTCACGCGATTTGCGATCACTCACAAATCAACGTTCTAGAAGAACGTAAAATTCAGTCTCAACCGGGATAATAGGTAATGTTCTTCTTCCTATATTTTAGTGCTTCAATTTGCGTCCATTATCCGTTGCGAGATTGCGTTGTATAAGTGATTGCGTTCAATTTTCTAATACGTTCGTTAATTTGTATTTATCATAGTGCTAATAGAAAATTTTCGTTAGTATTTGCGCGGATCGATCGAAGGTCTTAGAATAGAGCCTTTTAAACGACAGAACGTCGCAGCTACGTTGCGTAAAACCACGATAAACCATTTAGAGGATGCTATAGCATCTGTTATTCCGTTTGTCTCTTCACAACCTACCACATCGTGTAGAACTACATAAAACGTGCGCTATCTGCCGTTTTAACGAAGATTAGAGTTCCACGTTTGTTATTTTTACCTGCCATTGTGAACGGATATTTTTGCGTCAAATGAATTTGCGATATTTGCAGAATCGTTTTGTAAAATTCATTTATTTTCGGTTGTCTATTTTTTTGCAACGGTCATCAATATAAATTCATCATACGAAATATGTCGAAATAACAATTTACTATACTTTTTATTGAAAAATTAAGGTTAAAATTTCAATTTTTTAAAACGAAAATTATGTTAAGTAGAGGTAAAACTTTTTTTGGGTGGAATTAAAAGGTTAATCGTTTGAATGTTCGACAAATGGAGTAGATCGAATACTTTATCGTGCACTGTTTAATTAGTTGGTAATTTATATCAGTTTCCTTTCTCTTCGTGATACACGTGAGTCGCAAAAGGAAAACACGTGAATGGTCTATTGAGAACCGGCAACAGGCTCCGCAAGTCCATGACCTCCTTTTATAGATTACAAACGTTTTATTAATCCCGCAAAAAATTAAATAGTTTAGCACGTGAACATACCGACGCAGTCGTTACGTCGGCATTTAACATCGTTCCGTTAATACGTACCTTTTTTTGTGTGTCTTACGTATGTATAAGCACGTAGGCAGTTTTTTTTACCGTATTTTTCTCTATGTTTTTATAAATCGAGTTATCTAAACGTATAATTTTCCGGTTCTCTGATGTCGATATACGCAGCAGATTATAATAACCACAATAATTAGCAAACTTCCTATACCTTGAGTGTACTTATTCACGAAATTCATGTTTCTTTTGGCATTTACGTTCAACATTCTTAACTGTCAATTTTTTAACAATTCAGAATTTTCCCTTTTTTCATAAAAAATGGCTGATATGCCAAGAATTGCATCGAGATTAAGATTTAGAATTCGGGAATCAAAATTCGTATGTTAGGTTAGGTTAGGTTCCATCTTCAATAAGTTAATATAATAAAGTATCACAAAATTTGCTACCTTTTTCAAAATTCTCCACTGTAACAATCTCTAATGAAATATAGAGCTTGAAAATTATGCGTAAACAACAAAATATGTTCGTCGTTTCTGCGCGCAATCCACGTGATCGCCGAACGCAAGCACGTGATCGCCGAACGCAAGCACGTGAATAGCCTACTGGGGGGCTGAGGAACGTTTCACATAGTCCATGACCGCTTTCTATGAGGAGATCAGCGATCCTTTTACCGGTACAGCTCAAAGTACGAGCTCCCCCTTTAAAGGTGCACCAGAGACCGGTGCAACGATGCATGCCTAGCACGTGCATGTCCTAGTCCTGTCCACAACGATTACAACACCCTTTCCAATCGTCCTTTCGCTTTTTCTCACCGCCTTCTTCGGCGAAGGCCGCGATCTCTCTATGTTCCTCGGGGTTTCCTGAAGAGGTGCAGTCGCGTGTAGCCCGTCGAGGCTGCCTACACGCTAACTAGAAGCACCTCGAGTAATCTTCGAAGATTCGCGACTTCTACGATACGTTTCACGCTCGATTATGGTGAAGTAGTAGAACTTACGATAATGACGAAGTAGCTGATTCAAGAGTAAGACTTGGAGAGGGATCGATGAACTGAAAACAAGCCTTTGTGAAGCATTTGGTGGTGGAGTTTTGAGAAGGTTTTGGTATCAGGAGGATTGTGTTTGTTTAAACAATAATATGATAATTTGGGAATTTGGTGATGGTACTTGGTTAATTTATCGCGGTATCTGGAGAATATTGTGCACGTGTTATTACTGTTGAAGCTGAGAATGGGATTTAATGGGAAAGTTTTAGGAAATTAGGAGGAACGTTTTGAATTTAAGTATCGGTTGGTTTTCATACTTTATTAGCGGCTTTAGGGTTGAAGAGTAAGTGATAGAATTTAGTAGTAAATCATGCACAAGCTTTAGAGTTAATTCTTGTTAGAAAATTAGATCGGTGATGTCTTTTTTTTTTTTTTTTTACATAAGTTCCAATTGGTCAATAATTATTATCGATGAAATATTTGACGATAGATGCTGGCACTAATGAGCACTGCAAAGCCCTCTTTTCTGGAGATCGACAATGATAAGTTTAAGACCATAATGAAAATATCAAACGAAGACACGGTCGAACAAAAGAAGGATCGCACAGGTAACGATGAGGACTCTTCGAAAACCTTGCAACTCCTGCGGATCAAAGGATACCCTCGGTTGCTACCTGAAGGTTTGATTTTTCTATTCTTTCATTTTTCAATTTTACAAACGTGCGCAACGAGGTAGTAAAATTAAACACTTTTGTTGCAAATCACGTTGCAGGGATACAGGCGTTAGTCAATTACTGTCGATACCTGCAAGAATTGTCACTCTCTTATTCGTTGCTCAGTGACGAATTGCTATTTGCTCTGAGTTCCGAGAAACAGGTGCAATTGGAAACCCTGCGATTAGAAGTGCAGCCGGAGACAAAACCTCTTCCGCGAGTCAGCGAAAAAGCTTGGTTTACATTTTCCAACCACCTGCCGAACATAAATCTTGTGCTGTGAGTGCACATTTTGATTCAGCTGCCCTTCAACCAAAAAAAAAAAAAAAAAAGTACTCAACGAAATTTGAAATGATATGCCATATATTATTTTAATCACATTTTTTAACGTTTTTTAAAGAGATTGTTATACAGTTTTATAGTTGAATTAATGATTAATCGTGATTCTAAATTATTGAAAAAAGGTATCGTTTAATTTCACAGAAGTAATATAACGTTTCGTTTTGTACAATAAATTAGATTGTCTTATATGACGAACGAAGACGATCAGAGACCGTTGTTCGCACCGTACGTTCCTATAACGCACTTATATTTCGGGGAAGCGCCGTCAGAAGCAACCGTGCTTCGTATTGGATATCAGTGTCCTCGTTTGGTCGAGCTGGTGATCGCTGCTTATGGACCAGGTTTACTCGATCATGCACTCCTCTCTATCGCTCAAGGATGCCCACGCCTAAGCGCTATTGGTTTGGGTGATTGTGAAATCACGTATGTACACTAATGTTATGGATTTTTCTTATAGGACAGGCTTGATTTCTTAGAGCTTACAAAACGTGAATTTTTAATTAATAAAATTGTATATATGATACTTAAGGAAATTTGATATTGAAGAGATTTTTTAATATCTTGGTATTCTGATGCAGAGATTTACAATTTCTTTTCTTTTTTTTGCAGTAACTGTACAAATGAATTTTTCTTTTCTTTTCCTTTAAATAATCATAGACAAAATTGGTAATCCATTGCCTTTTTCTTGTCACGCTCAGTTGCTCGGGATTATTGGAATTCGTTACACTATGTGCGAAACGTTTGCGAATACTGTACGTTTGGGAAACATCATTAACAGAGGATTCCGAGCTTGACGTCACGAAAGTATCGAAGAACATCTCGTTGCTCCTTGGTCGGACATGGGTACCAGAATACATACCGTTATGTTGAGACTTTCAATAACTCGAAGCAAATTTGTTAACGATGCAAATACACTTAATAGCCGACAATAGTTTACGCATGTACCAGAAATGTGCGTAAGTGATACATTAGTCCATACGGATATGTATATATTATATATATACAGTACGCGAAACACTTGGTTAAACGTAGTGATATTTTTACTAAACTACTTGTCCACTGAACTTTAAATTAATAGGTTCTGTTTGTTTTAAATAATAGATTCTATTTAGTGAAAGTTTATGCATTTGTCTCTTGAGGAATCACATATTTAATGGAAAAGTATTCTCTTGTTTTATTCTCATTGTAGTTAGAAAGCAAAAAACAAATTATTACAACAAATGTACTTTATTAATATTTCGCATGTCCGCCATTTTTATTTATAATATGTGTCTCTATTCCATTTCAATAGCATTCGTGAGATATACTCGCCTCGATAAATATCCCCACACGTTTTTAATAATATAAAATGTTCCTTCATCGTATGCACATTCTCTAGGGACATAAAAATATTTTTCTGCTGATAAAGAACTGAATAGAAAAAAGCTGCTGCGCTTATATAACCAAGTTTTGTGGACTCTATGTTTGTTGTGTGTATGTGCGCGCGCGCGTGCGAATGTGTATATCCTTTTTCTATTTTTTACACGAAATAAGAATCTTATATAAGAAATCGCATGATTATGAATTGTAGCATAGATATTGTATACACGTTGTAGGTTTCCAATATTCTTAGGATTGCTGTTTGCAAAAAAAAAATCCTTTCTGTAGACCAGAAATTTAGAGTACAATTATTTAAGTTAAAAAAAAAAATGTCCATATCAAATTACCACGTCGTATTATTAAGATGGGATTTAAAAATCGTTATGAGAAGAAGATAGAAAAAATTGTAATTATCCTTTTGTTATCGTTCACTGTTAATTTATATTCACATGAACGGTCCAATGTACTTGATGGATCGGACATGATCCACAGATAAAAAACAAAATGAACGAAAAAAGCCTCGTATTGTAAAAATTGCTCGTGTCTGTTAATACCAAAAATATAAACTTTATTAGATTATAATGGTATCTCTTGCGTGTGGTGTATATAAAATAAAATAATACCACTACTTATTTACCAACCGTCGCTCATGATAGATATGTATAATATACAATAATTGATATAGTCTATAATGTTATTGTAATACAACAGAGTATGTACATTATTTCTACATTATAACACAATAAATGATTGGGTATACTTAGTTATTACGATATCTAATAACGTTAACAATTAATGTCCTTAATATTTAAACTTTTTTTTTTTAATATACGCGATTATTTTAATTTTCCTTTTTTTTTACATCTTGCCGATGCTACACTAAGGATGCGAGGCGCTCAGTCTTGTATCCCAGCCGATATATCCAATCTCTTGTCTCATTAAGGCCGATTAAGAACCTAATGTTCGAACAATTTACGTATTTCAGCTGTGTTCACGATAAACCATTGCTAATTATAAACAATAACCTGTATCGTATCTTTTCTCATAAAAATTTTAATTGTTATAATACATAACGCATAAATCACGTCTTTACGAACATGATAATGTTTCCCTTTTCCATTTAAAGGTATAGCAATTGTTTAAAAAATACAATAGAAGTTTAATTACTTGACAGGTAACAATACGGCACACATTTGTTACATCATCAATTACAAAATACATTAATTCTCATTAGCACTGTTTAAGCAACTGACGAGTGGTAAGCGTACAAAAAAATCTAATTAACGCTTAAAGTAACAGAGCCCTTTGAACACGTTTATCGTACATATTAAAATGACTACATCTCTACTAATATCAATATAAATATTTTAATGAGAAATATTGCAAAAACCTTAGGAACAAGTAGAAAAATTATTCTAATGTATTTGTATGGCTTTTGTTCTTAATTATCTGCGTCGTCAATATATTCGTCACAAACTTAGATTTAAAATTTCCTATTAAAATAGAAATTATTTGAGAAAGGGCTCAAACATACACTACTGCTCATAAGTATTTGTTCATCTATCTATTCACAATGTTCTTTATTTCAATAAACAACTTCATTTAACCAGTTTACAATGAAAAAGTCAAAGATTTAACTTGTAACCCTTATTTTAAGAAATATAGTTCTTTGGAAAAATTTATCACATCTTTGAATAAAGAAAAAAAAAGTAGATGGACAAATACTTATTAGCGGTAATGTACATAAAACATTTTCATGAAAATATAAATAAAATATAACATTTTATTTTATTATTATCCCCTTGTTAACAACTTTTTCCTCGTTAATTACGATGACTTCTTTAAATTTGAACTTTAATGAAATTTATATAAATGAACAGTACAAGTAAGTCTCACTCAACATGAAAGCTTATACTGACAAGTAATATAAGACATAAACGGAATTTTTTTTAAACAAAATGCAACTATAAAATGTAATTATTTGTACTGTTCACAACGTTCACGTGTTTTATATTTTTTATCCCTTTACATATATCTGTATATATACCTATAAATTTTTCGACAAATAATTCAATGGCGATGAATTTTGTGTTAACTAAAAGACAATCACATATTATTCGAAATACGTAATAAATTTTCCTGGTATGATCTGTACAGTGCTAGTGAAACCTAAAACATGGGATACTATTTACATTGAAAGATTTTCCTTGGCAACAAGCATTAATTTATATTATAACACTCTGCAGGAAAATCCATTTAGAATATAAGGAATTATAAATTAAACTTGGCTGTGTACAGATCACAATATTACCGTGGTTTAGTTTGAATTTCAAACACAGTTCGCAGCTGCATACAAAACATGTCTAAAATATCATTAATTATTTAGCACCAGCTTAGGCATGTTCACCATCCTTTATATCCACTACTTTTGGCAAAGTAATAATAATGCTACTATTACGCAACGTTTACGAATAACAGGCTTAACAAAATAGGTCGGCAATTATCCTATATCATTATAAAGGAGCAATCAAACAAATGGACGGGTTGGTTGCTTACTCTACGCATACTTTAAGTGTCTGGATACACACAAAATTGATGCAGCTTTAAGAGACGTAACGTTTTTGAGCACTGCGACTGCTAAATTTGCTCGTGGGGCCTTTCATGTACATAAACGTATTCAATGTTTAATTTTCTCATAATTATCTTTAATTAATTCATCTTAAAAAATCCTTACGATTTTCTCTACCAAAAATTTTCACGATAATTGTGAAAAGTTGAAGCCCCAAGAACAAAACGGGTAATATAATTATTATGATTGCCTTGGCGCACAATATGTTTAACAATAACAAGATTTTCATTACGATGTATCGTATTGAAAATAATAGTTTTCTTCTTTTTTTTTTAATAATAGATTTCACTATTATTTACGCACCTGTCTGTTACTTGTTAAGATATGGCTTCTAGTGTGAACCAGTCATATCAATAAAAGCATTTCAAATACCCGAATCGATCCTGCAATACAAAGTGTTTTTATCAAGTTAATGTTTCTTCTACTAATTATAGTTATTTACATAGGATACACGCATTTATGCGTACCTAAATAAAACAATCAATCTGGCATATCAATGGAAATTATAGGTACAACAGGTTTTGTTAGGTCAATTTTTTTAACATGTTTTTCACTTTTTTCTGAAACCATTGGTTCTGATGGTGGCTGGTCTTGATCACTTCTTGGCTGGTAAGAAATATTACCATATTCTTGAAGCAATGGGCATAATCCCAATAGAAAATGACAAAAGTCTTTTCTAATACCAAACCACCCTAAAATTAATAACAATATTTAACAAATGTTGATTTTATTACCATAAGATATTAAATTTTATATGAAAGTTATAAATGTTTTCTTACATCTGTTTCCCCCTTTTGCATCAAAAGACATAAAGATAAGTGTTATGTGAGATATTAGAAGTGGCATTGCTACTGTAGTATAATTCAGTGAAATATCTCCATCCAATTTATTTGCTAGTAATATCTAAAATAAATTAAAATCTGATATTAGCAAAACTCATTAATTACATTTTAAATATAATTAAAATTATGATTCTTACTTGGAACACTAAGATTGGAACCACAAGAAATGTGTATGCCAATGCTGAATTCAAGGATGTCCGCCTCTGTCTAGCATTAATTTGTGGAGTTCTTAATAAAACAGCAGCAAATACTATTGCATATAGAACTGCAACTAGAGATAAGGATAAAAGTGCCCATGAGGGAGCAAACACTACTTCCCAACTCCATGTTATAAAACTGTCTAGTCTTAATGCCAAGAAAATGAACTGTAGTACATTGATTGCACAAAATAATTCAAGTTCAAATGATCGATCATGTTTTGCAGCCCATATGCATACCTAGAATGTGATAACATTTATATATTCTGGAGATTATATCCCCTTGGTACATAGTTAAAAATTACTTACAGCTATTGACACTATAGAGATGAAGATAAGTGGTATAAATACAAGTATCCAAAGGTGTCTTTTAGATTCTAATTTATCACATACTAACAATTCAAACATTAACAAGATCAAATGTAATGCCAAAGTAATCAACATTGCTTTATAATGTACATAAGCATCTCCTTCCCTCCTTGCATGAGGATGTCTCCACCAAACATAAATTCCAACAGTAGCACCCAAAATTACCATACTCTTCCAAAACCATACTGGTGTAAATACAGTCCAATAACTCCATTCTATGAAACCATCCAAGCGAAGTGCAAACAAGATTGTAAATATCATCAAACATGAGTGTACCAAAAATTTGCTAAAATGTAAAGTAGAAAAGAATAAGATTAGTATCTACTTATTGTATGTCATGTTATAAGTAATAAGATTACTTAAATTCATTTTTATAATGAATATATTATATAGTACATTCATAATTCATTTTAATAAAATCTTAAAATTCTTAGTCAATTACTGTTTCAAAGATATTATACTATACACCTCATAAACATAAAGTTATTGCTATTTAAACTTATTATTTCAAAATCTATTAATTAAATTATGCAACTCTTTAATAAAAACATTCTTCTAGATATTAAAAAGTTTTTTGTTTTCAATACAAAAGTATTTTTAAATTATTTTCGTTAATTTACGATGAAGGGTCAACAACATTGTAACAATGGCAAAATGTGCTGAATAAAAAGGTGAACTTTTGTTTAAAATAAGCATCTGACCCACTTTAAAAAGTATGTCTCAACCAAAATTAAAAATATCGATAGACCTTTGATTCAATTATCGAGAGGCTTATCCATAAATTAAATTGGTCAGATTTAAGAAAGAGAACTGTATTGAAAATTGAACAATGTAAATTTTCGTACTTATAAGACAACGCTTGTTGCTTTTTTCAATTTCATACATTCCATGAAATATACGATTTCATTGTATCGTATAAATTCATTATTAATTTGTAAATTGAAAGAAATTCTATTTAATTTGCGTGCAAGACTTTTACCTTGGATTAAAGTCCTGAAACAATGTTTGCAGATTCATGATTATCAGAACAATTTTATAGGCCAAGTATTTGATGTAAACTTCGTGATGACCACCGCATATACATACATTCCACTAAAAATCGTTTCATTTACCGCACAATTTATCGCGGAAGAACACGAACGGTGGGCTCTGCATTTGCGTTCCAGGAAAAAAAAATAAATCCCACCGTCTTACATGCGAAAATTCGAATTGCACTGAAATTAGCCAAAGACCAACAGCTGTCGACATTCGATACGTCAAGAACTCAAACGTTAGCAGAAAACTTCGCACTTATGAAAAGTGCAATAATGCATTTATGAATTGCAATGGGTAAAATGTTTAGTGATACCATTTTAGAAAGTAATTATTTAATGATCACTTTAAATGGTTTGCAAATTACACTTAGCAACTAATTTCTAACTAAAATGATATAAGTTCTAAACTAAGTAGATTTTAATTGTTATTATGCATTCATTTCTTTAAAGTAAAACACATATCTGATTCATGTTAAACATTATTACGTACATAAATACAAATTTTCAAATTGAAAAATGAAAGAATTTGCTTAACATTCTTTTTAATTAATGATTTATGTCGTAATATCGATGTTTTCTTAGAAATTGATATTAAAAATATTATTTATTACCATTTATTGTTTATTTACAAATACAAAAGACTCGTTGATATCATTTATAAAGTTAAAAACCTAATTGTTTTATTATACATAATATAATCGCAAATAACATAAATTATTATTTAGAAAGGATTGTTCAAAATACATGTGGACAAATGTATCAGCCAATCAGCGCTTACTTGTAGTACCGACAACTAACAGGTTGCGCTGCTAGTTTCCGGTTTAACTCAGAGTGTTTCTTTCCGTGTGTAACCTCAAGCATGGCGGTGGGTAAAAATAAGGGGCTTTCAAAAGGTGGTAAAAAGGGTGTAAAAAAGAAGATGTAAGTAAATTATAATATCTTTACTATGTATTTTAGATATCTCTTATGTAAAAAATATAATTTTATCATTAATACCACCAAAGATGTTCCATACTAGAACAGATTCTGTACACTTGACATTCGAATGTTTGCACGTATTGCACATTTGTATCTTGATTTTGTTAGGGTTTATTAACTTATCTGAAACCTTAGAGTTTAGAATTCTGTATACTTCCTTTCTTTGTGCAATATTAAATATAATTTCATAATTATAAATATAATTCCAATGTATATTATTTAAGTGTAATATTCCTTATATTAATCCTACGTGTTTATGCACAAAATATAATGTATATAAGGAATTAAATAATTAAAAGGGCTTAAATTTTGTGTTAAAATTATTGTAACGTTATAAATGTATTGGAATATAAATCATTATATGACCTAACCTAAAAGTTCGTTGATGCTGAAGGCCTAACCTAATTTTGCTTTACTTACAGTGTAGATCCCTTCACTCGTAAAGATTGGTACGATGTTAAGGCACCATCTATGTTTACCAACCGTCATGTTGGCAAAACATTGGTCAACAGAACTCAAGGAACAAGTAAGATACTTTAAAATTGCTTAAAAATAATTTGCAACCCAGCTCCATGAAATGTTATCTATAATTTGCATGGCGTTTTATGTTGCATAGAGAAAAGCAAACACTTACCATAGTATTATTTCATTTATGAAAATACTAAAATTAGTTTTTGCTACAAACTTATATAAATTAAAAATAATTATTGAAATACCGAGTTTTTGAAGTCTCTTTAGCAGATTTACAGAATGATGGAGATGCAGAGAGATCTTTCCGTAAATTTAGATTAATTGCAGAGGATGTTCAGCATCGTAATGTCTTGACCAATTTCCATGGCATGGATTTAACTACAGATAAATTGAGGTCCATGGTCAAGAAATGGCAAACTCTGATAGAAGCTAATGTTGATGTAAAAACTACTGATGGCTATCTTCTCAGAGTTTTCTGCATTGGTTTCACTAACAAAGATCAACTGAGTACCAGGAAAACATGTTATGCTCAACATGCACAGGTTGGTAGTCATGTAAATCAAACAGTCTTTGCAACTCAACGTACATGAAAGTTGTATTGACACTCATGTTTTGTAAAGTTGCATAAAATAACGCACTCGCTTACCACACTATTTTCGGTAGAGGAAATAGTGAAATAGGATGTTGCAACATTTTTAAGTAGGGCAAATTGTAAATTGTATGTGTATAAAGTTGCTCATGAGTGGACGTATTTTAACGTGTTTAGGTCAAGAAAATCAGACAGAAGATGGTAGATACGATCACAAATGACGTTACAAAAAGTGACTTGAAGGGTGTGGTTAGTAAACTCTTGCCAGATGCCACCGCCAAAGACATTGAGAAAGCCTCCCAAGGAATTTACCCACTTCATGATGTTTATATTCGTAAAGTATGTATGACGAAGCGATTATCGTCCTCCTCGTTCTCAATATTTTAGCTGGTTTAAATGCAATTAAAAAATTATATTGAATCGTAGGTTAAAGTATTAAAGAAGCCGCGTTTCGAATTGAGCAAATTATTGGACCTCCACGGCGATGGTGCGGGTAGTAAAAGCGAAGAAGTAGGTGAAAGTGGGTCGAAGGTCGACAGACCAGAAGGCTACGAACCACCTGTGCAGGAATCCGTTTAAGGGAGTAATTCTCTTTCAATATTTCGTATAAATACACGTTCCAGTGCAAATATTGTTGTTTATTTTATTCATTTGCCCGTTTACATTACAGTTTATACATTCGTTTACCTTTTCCGAAAAAATTGATTTCATTTATAAATGTTTATTGAAAAATAATTTTATAATACGTTTTTTATGGACAACATTTTATTCAAAATAATCCAGCAACTGCTAAAAAAAAATAGAATTCGCAGTTCATTTGGTCATTTTAAGATGTAAAGGTACTAAAAATATTAAAAACTAATCAATGATTAATTAGTGTGATAAAGCCCGGGTAGCAAACGACCAGCATCTTATTAAAAGCGCCCTGAAACTTTCACTCCAGGATGCAAACATATAAATCAACAGCACAAAGAATAGTATTTTTGTGATCACGTCAACCCAGTACATGCTGTAATAAATATTAGTTGACATCTCATTAAAATTCCAAGTACTACTAAAATTGAATTCATAAATAAATCTTACATTCTCAAGTGCCTTCGAGCAGCTGGTAGAGTTTCCGGTGGCTCGTTCAGAATGTAAATTCTTGCCGCTCGTATACACATTTCGAAATACGCGTCTATATCCATGTCTTCCCCGTGTAGTTGATATCTTTCATATTCCACTGGGTTTAGTTTTCTACGTATTTCGAATATATTTGAGTTGTCAAAGTCCCACTGGTTGTTTGCATAATACTCGAAAACTTCGAAACCTTTTTGTATCCGGCGTTGTACGCGACACATGCTGTTTATAAAAAAAATTTGGTGTATTTCAATATCATTATTTTGATGTGGATGTAACTTAGTATCCATAGCTGGAAAGTACTTCACAGTATTTACATTGGTTTCTGGCCTGCAAGAAAAATAAGTGCATCTATGAGGTAGGCTGGTATCATATGGAAAAGTAGAACACATATGTTGTGCATGAGTCTTGATTTTTTCATGCTACCACCTGGATACCAAACAACCCCATTCAAGGGTACCTTCTCTGTTATTTTTCGTCCTCTCGCGATAATCTCTGCCCATGATACCTGAAGTTTCCACGTTAAAGATATTAGTTATACGTATAAATCGCTCTTTATAATGATGACAAAATGACAATTTAAGGATTAATTGCTGTTGCTGTACCTTGAATTCACTGCTACTTGTAAGATTGTAAACTCTCTTTTCATGATCCTTACAGTACAGAAAATTCCAAGAACTAGTAAGAATAGCGTTTACCGCGATATCAACTGGAAGATAATCGGCATAACCAGTTTCATTGCAATACATTGTTCGAATCACACCTTTCCCAGCACCAATTAAAAGTCCGGTTGGTCCATTAATATTGTCTGTCCATCCAGGAATCGGTTCTTTCCATATGGGTATGACTATACTTGGTCTAGAATTTGAAATATTTCTCTGTGATGAAAAATACTTACTTTCTAAAAAAAATTATACAATTATTTGTACCTCAATATAATTGCTGGAATATGTGGCATTGCTTCTTCAACAAGACCTTCTGATAAAGCTTTGGTAAAAGCATACGTATTAGGAAGATCTCCCAAAATTTTATCTGTCATAGCTTCAACAACATCATCATCCATCCATTCTACACATTTGATTATCTTATGAGGATCTGCTGGTGGTGGGTATGGCTTTTCTTCTAAAACCTAAGGATAATCACATTGTATGAAATAAACATCAATGTACTTAATTTTGATGTAACAAAAATTACTTTTTCTTCAAGATGGCAGTATGCTGTGCTAATATGGGCAAATAATTTTAAGTGCTTCATTTCTTTGCCTAGGTCCAACATTTGTTTTGTACCGCGCGTGTTCAACAATACAGCTTTCTTTAACAATTCGTCAAATCTGTAACAATTCAATTGTATTTTGAAATTATTTATGACTATTGATATAGGTTTTTATTTCGCTTCAATTCATACTGCATTACCGTACTGTGGCCGCGGCATGGTACACTATGTCGATCTTATCACAGAGCATTTTTCTGTCTTCTGGAGAAAGTCCTAGTCCTGGTAGCAATACATCTCCGTTTACTACTGTGACAACTTTTTTAATTGCTGCCATTCCTCTTTGCTCCCGGACTTTCTCAAAAAGCTGAAATAAACGATTCCTAAATTATATTAGTTAACAATTGATTCGTCGAGTTTTACGTAACAATTATGCGCAAATTTGTTCATACGCAACATGGTAATAATGAATTCAGTTTACGGATAAATTTGCTTTCTCGCATTTCCTGAGTTTCTAACAGGTGTGATTTTAAAACACCAATAAATCAGCAACGTTGAAATAAAAAGAATTGAATTTGATCCTTATCTTTCGATAGAAATTTTTATGAAATCATTTGTCTACCAATTTTCCGTTTTTCTATTTTTGCATAAATTACGCCGAATTAAAATATTTCATTCGTTAAAATTCATATTCAACTTGCCAATAATATTCGGATAAAATTTATTACTATGTCGGTATTTATTTATTACAAGGTTGTATAAACCTGATTCTTAGAGTAATCATTAACACAAATAATCTGAGGGATCATGAATAACTCATGAATTTTTTTCATTTTGCAATAAACGTCTTCGAAGAAAAGACGGTTTTTGCAATAAATAATATAGACAGTTTAAAGTGATTTTCTTTTTATACTGTTACAATACTTTTTGTCAATTCACGGAAGAGATTAAGAGACTCGTAAAAACATATTTTTCTAATCCAGTATCGCCTGCGGTTAAGTAAATATTCAATTTTTCATTCTTTATACTTAAAATTAATGGACCTCTTAAATCACTGAACTAGTCAAGTTAAATACATTACGCTGTAATTACAAGAAGGGGGTTTCAAGTTAATATTCACAAAAAAAGGTTAAGATTGAATTGCTCTGAAACCATGAACTCTGTTTCAATGAATATAAAAAATCGTCAGTAAATCAATCCAATTACCATAATTACATCTGTTCTATATTCGGGAGGACGACAATAAGCATTTTGGCAGAATTCTAATTAGTCCGAGTGAAAGAACACTTCGCTGAAGCAAAATAACGATGATTCTATTTTTTATATCCATAGTCAAGTAATTGCTACAAAAATTTCATCAGATGATTTCTCAATGGTCAAACAGCATATTATATTTCTATTACAAAATATTTATTATCGAAATTCTTCAAGCTACCAAGTGCCATACACATTATGTGTATTCAGTACGTGTATATGGTGGGAAGCGTGTTAGAACAGGGTCCAGGGGCCAGTGGCACGAAAGATGACATAACGGGCCGGCAAGCGAGGAATAAGAACTTTCACCGTGTGTAACACTTTGATAATAATGATAATAATAACATTTCCTATCCTCTTTTCTATGTACGAGGCCTTGACTTCCTTTCTCAGATTTTTGCCCCGTAATATACTACCACAAGCATTGCACTTTTACTATAGGACTTACGGATATAATAATTAGCGAATAGATCTGAGAAAATTAGGGTGATATGTCTTATGGTCGTTTCGTAATGTACCGCATTCCATGGTGAATGAAAATGACACAATTTTACGAATGATTAATTTTTCCTTTCATTATGTATGGAATTATATGCCATGACAGCTAGTGTATTTCTCATTTTACTAACTTTATTTGCCTTTTTTGATAGCTATGTTTAAAGGTAATGAAAGTATGTACACATTGTTGACTCTTGAAAATTCTTTTTTCGTAACACTTGCTATGGTGCATTCATCTCTAGTAGCCTACGATCGTCAATAGAGGCAATACACTGTTTTAAAAAAACTTGAAGAAAATAATTGTGACCCATAAATGTTTGAGAAGAGTGTGAACAAAAGAGGAACATATTCAGAATTAAGCACTGTTCAGTTGTCTTTTTGGAATTAGGTATTTTAATGAAATTTGAGGGAGTGATCCTGCTTTACGATCAATAATGCAAGAGAAATAAACCCTAGCGACATCTGTCACGGGGTATATAAAAGACAAGGTAGTTAAAGACAATTTTTCCGCGACACAAAACATGTTAAGGTTATCTGATAGAAGACAGATTTCCTTTAAAAAAAGTAACCTCACCAAGTCACGTCACCTCAAATATTCATTTTCTAGAATTAAGTGATGAAGAACTCCTTAAACAAAAAAACGGTCCGTACAAGAAACCTGTTTTCGTATGCAGAAGTGGTCCAATTGCTTTTTCTTTAGTTACGTAATGCTGTCTATACGTTCGCGTTCAACGTGAATTGTTTTTGTACAAAAACATCGAGACAGAGCATTTATAAAATTAACTCGAAAAAGTAAATAGCCAGTGGAAGATTCCAGTATAAAAATCGTGTCTCTGCATAACACTTGTGTTAGTTGTTACTTTTCTACAGTTATCTTTTAGTAATTATTTTTTACGATACTAAAAAGTCGTTCGAAAATATTTGAAAATATTTACCGGCGAGTTGAAGATTTCCTCTAAACGATGTTTCGGATCCTTTCCCTTTTTTGTTCGGATTAGCATATAAATTTGTTCTATATTTGGTAAACATCTGAGAAATTTCTCAATCACAACTTTTCCCAGGAAACCAGTGCCACCGGTGATGAGGATGTTCTGACCTTTGAACGTCTCCGCTATTCTATCAGGAATCTCCTCCACTTTTGATTCCGCCATGATCTTGTATTTAATCCTTTGAAATTAGATAAAAATTTATAAATATTTAATTTGTTATTTACTAGAGGAAAATAAATATTATGTATACATTAGTGCCCGAGAAAATTTTAATATTTAGGACGGAAGTTACAACACAATTTCCTGCAACTATGTAATAAATATTGAATACAGTATCAACTATGACACACTTTGTAATTTTCTTTGTATTTACTTTAGACAGAGAGACATTTGTATGCAAATGAGTTCGTTACATTTAGAACGGTAAACAGGGGCCAGCGTATAATTAGCAATTCGTTTTTTCCCAAGCAATCCACACACTATTAGACAATAATATCTACTTGGTGAATAATGATTCAATCAAATATTCGGAACAGTGTAATTAATGCAATAAGTAAAATTCGAGAATTCAAATTAGAATCGTACATCCCGCGAAAGTTATTTTACAAGAATGACAAATCAGGTGTCAGAAATTTTCAACCAATAACAATCGATCGTTTATAGTACAATGCCTTGCAATTGGTCCTTGAAAATTGACCTAGCCAATCTTAACTTCGCGAGAAGTGATTTAGTCACGTGACTGTTTCTTCTATGCAGTAGCGAAGAAGTGGAACAGTTTGAATTCGGGCGGTGTATCAGAACGTGAGGGCAATGAACGATGTAAATTACGCGAGTAAAAGTACTGTTGGTGATGGAACAATTATACAGTGCAGAGTGTTTGTGATGAAGCTGAGTCGAACGCAGTGGAACACAGACAACAATTTAGAATTTCTTTTCTGTTTGTAAATGACTTTTTATACGAATTCTCCCGGTGGTGTAAAACACGAGGTCAAATACAAGCAGGTATGTTTTAGCATTCACTCTGCGTGTGAACTCTGTACATATATATGCTAGATAATCTCTCATTTAATGTTTTGATCAAAAATATTTAAATGGCGTCTAAAAAAGCGCGCCTAAAAATATGTAAATGGCGTCTAAAAATATTTCATTGGAACTTTGCAAATTTTTCGTTATTGAAAGCAAACGATACATGTGTATACGAAAAGTATTCATACATGATTTTAAGAGTATTTTGCTTCCTTAATGTAATTATTAAGCACATATATAATTGTCTGTCTTCGCGACTCGCGTTGTCATTGCAACCGCGCTATGATTATGACAATTTTTTTTAAATTAGAACGTAACCGTTTGTGGTCTACCATTTAAATATATACTGTGAAAACCGCAAAGCAGGTTCAATCGCGTGAACTTGCTATTCACATTATTTTTTGCAAATAGTTAGTACTAAATAATGATTTACAAAGTTTTTTACGATATCCTTAAAAAAAAAAAGAAGAAATGCTTATTTTACAAGATACTTCTGGTAGCAGCTAGAATTTATTCCTAAGAAATTCTAGATACGTTTATAAACTTTCGGTTTTTTGGGATACATAGAAAGGGAAAACGCAGCGTCATTATTTACCGAAGGTCAACTACTACCATGCGGTAACAAGCATAAGATCGAGTTACATTTCTCGAACGCTTCCTCGGATCGTATTTCATCTAACTGTACATCGTATGTTCCCTGGCAATATTGGAAAAATATTTTATGTTTATAATGTGTTATACACAAAAATGGTATTAAACGGTAGTGAATGAAATTATTATTCTAAATTATAACGAGACAAAACGAAATGAAAAAATTGTTGACTTGTATACAGATCTTTTATGGGTTATAGAAAGCAAAAGTGGAACGTTCAGTGTTATAGAATCGTATAGTTTCGCGGTTAACTATCAATTATGAAATTCAGGTCATTTTTTTGAAGCAATAGATGTAACGATTGTTTTTTAGAATGAAATCTGCATATAAGTAAGAGCATTGTGCAAATATTTCGTGAATGTTGCAATGGCTTTTACGGTAATGTGAAGACGTAATATCTTGTTGACAAAGAAACTCGAACGACAAAGACATACCTTTGCTATTTTGAGAAGGTCTTTCTAATGGGAGAATGGTAAATGTGTCGCTTTCCCTGTTATGAGTTTCTGTATACATATTCTGCTTCATTTATCTTAGAATTTTGCAATAGATAAAATCTCGACATTTCATATTTTGTACTTTCAAATGTAGAATGAAACGCTTGTTACGGTAGTCATTATTAATTGCTGAGATAGTCATCCAAAACTAATATGAAAGTGTATTTTGCAATCGTAAATATTTTCTAAAAAAACTTACGCTATTCATATTGTTCATTACTCTAACCTTTCGTCAATGAATTATGTGCTTGTAATATACATTTTTAGGTATTACTGTTTATTCATTATGAGCCTTTGATTTATTAATTCTGCTTACGTAGATATTTAGTTAAAATTCGTATGATTCTTGCACGGCAAATATTCGACACCCGTTATATGCAGTTTAGCAATTTAGAAGAAAAAGAAACAGATGATATTTTACATTGAGTACTTTTCACTTTTGTCTGGAATTTAATATTGCATATTTGATAGTCAGTACCGGTTCTAAACGTTATAAATTCAGCGTCCACTTGCGTCTTAAAAGTCACGTAACGTATACGTTGAATCAACCTATTACATATCGTAAAATCTCAGTTACTATTACGTTCAAGTATTGCTTCATTTAGAAAGCTACTTTTTGCAGGTTAAAATTGTTCAGATTTCGTTTTGCAAAAATTTGCATTATTAACGAAACGTGGATAATTATAGATTTATCTTATTTACTCGATCGTATTTATAAGATATTTCGGTTGTAGAAATACCACCACATTCCGCAATTGAAATTACATCTTTTTTTGATTCATCTTCGGAATTCGGTATTTACGTAAATCTGTTTGTTGCAAAATACACTCGGTTTATGTCGGAATACTTTCCCATAAAAATCCAACAAGGAAATAGCAGGAACTTTGAAATCTCGATCGAGTTTTACGTGCTTTCTTTTCCCTTAGGACGACTATAAAAGAATTCGAGAAATTAACCAAAAATCTCAACCGCTGAGAGGCGCTTATTTTTATTTTTATTATTTTGCAATTATTTGGCCTTATTTTAGCGGGTATTTGTACTTAAAATACAGAACATCAGGTGACAAAAATTTAGCGACAGAAACCATCAAACATAAAAAAAAGAAAATTGAAAACAACGATACACGATAATTTTACCTACTTCGAAAAAACAGCGAGGTAACAATAAGGGTAATATCCTTACTTACGAACCACTAAACCAAAGCTCGACACAATCCTTCAGAGAATTCTTCTCAGTGTATCATTCGAAAATAAAAATCCAAAAAAAAAGAATCCAATGTTGTCGAACACTTATTTTCAAAAATGAAAGAAAACCCGTGGAGCTTGTGTTTTATCCACAACGTGGGTATTAACGAACGAAACGAAAGCACGACCGGTAGCGTAAGAGTGACCGCGTAAAGTCAATTCGTGTTACTCCGTCGGTGATCCCGGTGCAGACTGAGAAAGCATAACGCTGGCCCAATATTTTCCTGGACGATCATCACCGTACGGTGCAGGCCCGTATTCGCAAAAAAAAGAAACCGTATAATTATTTCTTCATTTGCTCGATTTTTGAGAGTAATTTCGCGAGCACAGGAATGAGTTGAAATGTAGCTTATAATTACGAGACATATTGGTACAATTTGAAATTGAAATTTTGTCAATACAGATTGACCGAAATATGTGTCATAGTTTGACCTTGTTTTCCACGTTTTCATTATTTTTGCGCATCAATATTCAATATTTAACGTTTTACCAAAACAATACCAAACTTTCTTTTTGTGTGTTTTAAATACTGGTATATGTTCAATATGCTACTAATAAATGTTGAACGAATTACAAGGATAGGGATTATTAACAGAAATATACTTTCTAATGCTGAAAAATATTTTTCCACCCTTTTTTTATTTTATTTACAAATATGATCGATTTTTTCAAAACAACTGGTTTTTATCACGAAGACAAGTAAGTTAAATATATTTCTTCAGAAATTTCCAAAAATAGAGAACTTTCTATAAAGTTCTACATAATACTTAACATCGACGAAGTTTTCTTTTGCTATCATTTGCAAAGTTTAAAATTTTGTAAATGATTATCTTGCACGACGAACATCATTGAAAATCGAATCACGCAAGGACATGGAAATTTCGTCGTTAGCAGGGAGCCAATCTCAGAGAGTGGCTTACGTGACAAGGTGATACTTGAGCAACCGCAAAATGCGATCGTGCGTCTACGTGGACCACGCGTAAAAAAGTTCCGTCGAAACGGATTGCCAAAACTTGCGAGCCCTTTATTCGATTATATAACTCGCAGAGACGGTTTTTACTTGGCTCTCTTTCTTCGAAGTTGCCCAATTCAGTATTAGCGACGCGTAACATCCACTTTTTAAAACGTTGTGATTCACGCTGAACCGTTCATGTAGAGTACGTGCTTACCGACAGGATACTTCTTCCATCTTCAATACTAGTTTTTAATTACGTAATTTTCCGATAATGGCGTGAATGTGTACAGCATATAATTGGATGGAAAGTGACGTGCATATTGAGATTAATTTACACTAATAACATGTAGTTAAAGTTTAACAATCTAACGTTTAACAAATTGACGCGAAAAGTGAGAAACTTCAAAATTACTTCTAGAATTAACTCTAGGAAACTCAAGGGAGGGTGAAAGAGATATCCACAAAATTTTAAACCAATTAGATATCGTGTTTATTTCTTTTAATTGAAATTAAACAAAACCATCGTAAAATTTCAAATTAAACCTTTCAACAGTTGGAGCTTCCCAAGATTAATTAGAGCTTCTAGAATATGATGATTTATATTCCGTTATCTTTTTGAAGGTTAGTTTTATCGTGAAAAATTTCGTTTTAACCGTTTTCAAAGTAATTCAATGTATCATTGTGTAACTTTGTCGAATTTACTCGAAGTTTCTTTCGGCCGAAATGCATCGCTCCCGCGAAATTTGAATACGTGCGTGAGACTTACTATAATTTTGCTGAATCAGAAGGGAACCGAATGGAGGGGACATTTCGAAATTACCTGTGAACCAGAGTAGCATGGGACAATAAAAAGTTCACCGATGGCAAATGAGAATTGTCTATAAATAACTGAGGAAAGTTTTCATTGTCTGTCTCGTTCGTTATGCTAATTAACGAATTTGGTCTTTCCCGGCGTATTTTAAATTATAATCCGTCTGCAGGCATATTTATTACCCGTGATACACTATACTTAACTACATTTAATCGTACGTAACACGTGAGAAAAATGACACGTTTGCATCTTAAGTGAATTATTAATTTCCAACGTTCGACGTAAGAAGAATTGTTTTCTGTCGTTCTTCGTCATTCGTCTTGCAGAATTTCACGAATTTTTAGAACACACTTTCGAATCAAATATTTACTATTATTCAATCAGATTGCATAATCATTGCCGGGAAAATTAATTGAAACACAAAACCAGACTGTCACAGTCTCAGAAAACAGTCTCTTCGTCTTCGCGATGGGTGATTTCGGTCTGATAAAAATTCATTATTCAGATTTATCGCTGTCGAAATTTTCTGTGAAAATATTTGGAAACATCGTATCCAGGAAATCTTACGTATCTCTGAAAATAAATAGTATTAATTTCCATTTTATTCGTCGAGTGTTGAAAAATTCGAAACGAGGAATTCCGTTCACGGCCGCGAAACTTGGCGAACAAACGAATAGTAGACAATATGTTCCCTAGCGAAGTAATCGAAACGAGTCAACCTCTGGCGCAATTCTACTTTCCTGCCTGTTGTGAAAACGTTGACTCCGCTATCTTCGGCCTGCAACCTTTTATAGAATGAGCGTGAGGAAAAAAGTGCGCATAGCGTTGCAGACGGACGCGTTATTTCACTAGGCGCCGCTTGTTACGAAGATTAATTTGGTGAGAAAGTGTAGACAGTTTAGGTTCTTGTCCCACTGATAATTCCTGTTCTTGGCCTACAGTCGTTGAATGGCTTCGTTACCATCAAAATAGCTGGTTATTTTTTTTTTCTTCAATCTCCAATTTGAATAATAATTCTGTTTCTTCACAATTTACTTAGCAATAAATTCATAATTATTGTATATATAGATACATACACTACCGGCCAAAAGTTTCGAATCACCTCCCACTTTTCATCAATATTAAATCTGCTGCTAATTTTTTATAGATTTGAAGTTTAACTCAATTCTACATTTATCAATTGATTCGAATGATAAAAAATTCTCAAAGTCGCTGTCTTTTTTCTGGAAATTTTTGTGTAAATTGCAATGCTCGGTGATTCGAAACTTTTGGCCGGTGGTGTATTTTCATCGAAAGAAATTTATATTAAATTGAAAGATTTTCAAAGGAAGAAAATTTCCGATGAAGTTTGACATGGATAAAAAAAATTGACGAAAGTGAATTCCAATATAATTAGTTACATGACACGAAGATTAAATATAACAACCCCTCGACTGGCAATTTTCGTTACGCAATTCGTCAAGAAAGGTCGTACGAATACGAATGATCGTGTAACACTACAGGTGATTATATCTTTACATATGTTCATACTAGACAGACGTGTTACGAAATCAGAAGTTAGAATAACGTAATAAAATCGTGATAATGAAGAAAAAGTTGGGTCCATGTAATTTTACTCGCTGTAAAAAAGTAACTAGTCTATGAGTAATTTTATTGACTAATTTTACCATTAATTTGTTACACTGCCGCGAGTGACGGTTTTACGTGAAATAATACTCGTCCTGAAAATTTCACGAACGAGTTATTTAAAAAATTGCAAAAATTAAATTGTCTAGGAATATTAGGGACAAATGCAGGCCTTCGTAAACTTTGAAAATTAAGAATTTTCATCGCGCTCTGAGAATTTAGAAGTTTCATTCGAATTATTGTTTAGAATTTTTATTTTCTGTTTTGATTGTCTCAAGGCCTGAAACCGTTGAAATCTCATTGATGGATCTGAGGATAAGAGGATCTTAAAGTTGATAAAGGGAGACAAATCGAGCCTCCTTAATTTAATGACAATTGTAAAAAATAACAGAATGAAAATTAGGAGAATTATATTTAACAAATTGCAACGTTAGGAAATGTTAAGAAAATTGGTAACGCAACGTAGAAGTGGAAATAAAGCGTGTGCGTGCACAGTGCACAGGTATCTTTATTGAACGGAGAAGTGCAAGTACACCTGTAGCGAGGGTTAAAGAGTGAGAGTCGAGGAGCGAGAAAGTGAGAGTGAAAATGAGAGTTTCAGGGTAAAGAAGGAGCGTGCCAGACTGAAAGCGGACAACCGCGAGATTTCGACACTTCTCAGATACGTGTCCTCCATGTGCTTGGTGATTTTAGTTTTCGCCATTACCTCGGGCCAACCGATTTATTGACATAAGATGCGTCGCGATATTGACAATAGGTTATTTCTATTGATTTATTAGCATCATTCTCGTCTACTAGCTTCTTCTTAACACAAGTATTAATTTTACTTTCCAATGTTGAATAGCAGCAAAGTTTAATTAACCTATTCTTCACTCTTTGTTACTTCTATCGGAATTTCTTTTAATTTTTTCGTAGAATTGTTGTATTCGAAAATTGCTCGAGTTCTTTGATTTAAAAGTATCAATGTAAATTCCCGGAATTTAGAATTTGTTAAACGAGGATTAATCGTGTAATGATATTTCTTAGATTTGTTGTCAAGCTTTTCTACGTATCTGTGGAGTAGTGATTTCAGTTAACGATTTTTCGCAATCTCCTGTTGAATTGGTCAGGTGATTTCATTTTTTATATAACGTACGTGAAAATGTAACGCAATTACTCGAATTACGGTCCATTTACGCGGTTAATATGTGGAAAGTTGTTAAAAACAGATAATGATACTTTAGATTCACTGGTAACCAGATAGAAATCTCATCGTGATATTCGCACTTTCGGGTGTACTCAAAATTTGGGCAAAAATATCGCCGTGGAATTCCTAAACACGGCGAGCGGTGTCATTTTTTAACATTGCGCAACCTCGTTGGAGGGACATTATAAATGCGGGACAGCGATAAAAAAATTAGCAAATCTAAAGTATCATAATCCTGGAATTTTTCGTTCGATAAATACCGACAATTTTTCCTCCACGAAAGAAGGAATTAATTTTAAAATCAAAAAACAAGAGGTTGTTTAAAAGTATTTTTAAAAAACACTAAGAACGTACTTTGATAATTATTTTCATAATTAATTGAAAAAATGAAAATTTACGAAAGATATAGATAAAATAAAGAAAAAATTTCCTCAGGGTGAAAATTCATCTGAAACAAAACCTGAAACACAGTTTTGCTTACTAAAATTGTACGTGTAAGTAGCATGAGCACGAGAGTACGATTAGTATGCACTCTGTTATTGGTAAAGTATACGGTTCGAGGTGACGTGGAAACTCTCGTGGCTATTCTAAACGTGGTTTCAAATATTTACGCAGCGAAGAAGTCACGGGGGGAAAAAATTTCGCGAAAACGATTATGCGAGCGCGTGCATTCGCGAGAGAGCGAAGAGATTTCGAAATTTCAAAATGTCAGCACGCGAAGATATCCTGTCAAATAGGTGTAGGGGATTAGTGGTGACGTTTATTCGAGATTCGTTTCCTATGTCTGCACTTTTGCAATGTTTCGTTCGATCTTTTTTTCCTTTCTTCTTTTTTTTTTTTCTTCTTTACCGACAGTCGACATTTACACATGTCGAAAGAAACGTGTGTGCATCGAGGAGATCGTGAAACGATGATACGTTACACAGTTTGCTGTTCCCTTATTGGGTGGAAATATTTGGGAAATTTCGAAGTAAAAAAGAAGAGTTACGTCGTTATGTAAGAAATCAATGAAATACTTCCAAGTTAAAAATTCGAATTAAAGATCTAGATCGGTTACGTATTCATTTTGTGTCGAAACTGTTTCTTTTTTTTTCTTCGTTAGTTTTATTGTTGGAAAAAATGTGTTTTTATGCTAGAATATAGTTTGGAAAATTGGAGCAAAATGATTGATTAATTCTACGTTGTGTTATTTATATAAGAAAGTTTCTTCGTTATTAATCGTGGTATATTTTACAAAGAAAACAAGATTGTTTAAAAAAGGTAGAATTTTTATTTTGATTCGTAGAACAGTCTAAACTTACGTACTTTGCACGTTGCAAAAATTACCTACATAAGTAACTTATGTACGTTGCAAGAATTGCTTACAATAAAGTATCTTAAAAATATCATCGTAATTGCAAGTTAATAGACTCTATAAGAGTAATACAGACGAACAAATAGAATTAATATTCCTTATCGAAAGAAAGCATGGTTTATTGCTTATCGTATACTGTAATCGAGTATTTTCATTATTGCATGCGTAATTATAATTCTAAATAGTGATGCATAGTACGGTTCTTCTTTTTTTAAATTCGACAATGAACGTGAATATCTTTGTCGATATTAAGTAGAACAATAGACGTACATTGTTAAAAAATAAAGATATCGAAATATTACCTCATTGAGGTAAAGTCAAACATTAATCCAATATACAATTTAAATCTCGTTAATCTCGAATTTCGTTGCAGTTATTTCCCCGCAGGGACTGATCCAGGAATAAATGAACCACGTGAAGAAAATCAGAAGACCGATCTTCAGGAACCAATCGGCGAAGTACAGACACCTGAGGACCTTTCTTGCACGGGGTAAAGTCGAAGGATCGTCTTTCAAACAGTATTGTCTAGTGCCTAGAATGTATCGTAACAAGTAGTCGTCCCAAGATATCGCTTTCGTGTTCATAAAGAACTCTTCCCTATCAGCAGGGTTCAGTTCGTCCTGTAATTCCTGCATACGTTCGTTCCTGAAAGTAAATGATCGAAATAGGATTGGAAATGTTGAAATAAAAATTGTAGAATTCACTTTCGAACTTCACTTAAACAATTCGAATTATATCGATTGGAATTTCAAAGTAGTAAAATTGTTAGTAAAATATTTATATATATTTTTCTATAATCACCTAAATACCCATTCCTTAGTGGTATAATATTGTATCATTTCGATGCCAGCGTTGACTTTGTGTTGCACCCTCACCAAGAACGGTTTGTTTCCACTCAGAACGATTAGAGCATCTAACAGGTACGCAGGTATAAAGTGGAAGAAGATCACACGTATCCAGTGGTAGAACTTTAACGTGGTTATGCTTCCACCTGGATACCAGAGCAGACCTAAAAAAAAAAATTTGCAAAATTTTTATGTCTGTTCTAAGTGTTTCAAAAGGTATATTATATTTTTCTCACTAACCTGTGAATGGATACGTTGTTGCATGCTTCTTCCCGGTATCCACAGCGTAACCCCAAGAGATTGGATTTTCAGCTCCACAGGTAACATTCATAAACATTGGTTTTTCTGGTTTCTCCTTTCCAACTTTCCACGCTAACGCGATGATCGCGTTAATCGCCATATCACAGGGAATTAGATTTAACATGTAATTATAGTTGCAAAGCACCGTTCGAATTACTCCTTTTCCAGCGCCTATCATTAGACCTGTTGGTCCGTTCATATTTTCTACCCAACCAGGAGCTGGTTCTTTCCATGATGCGACCACTAGAATAAAAGAATTAATTCTTGATGGGAAGTATAAGATGTCATTAGTTATAATTATCGTAAATAGTTTACAATATATAGAAGTTTACGTATATAATTTTTAATTAATATGTAGCAAGGAGTAGAATATTTATTTAACTTCTGTTGGACTAAATAAAAGTTCCGTTTACCGATGGAAGGTCTAGCAACGCCTGCAGGCAGGCCAGATCTTTGCACCAAATCCTCGCTGAGTGCTTTACTAAAGGCGTAGGTGTTCGGCTGTCCGTTTAATATTGTTTGGGTCATCGCTTTAAGAACGTCGTCCGTCATGTTATTTACAGTGTCTACGACTTTCTCAGGCTGCACTATACACGAGTAGTTTTTCTCCTCTAGCACTTCTTCTGTGCATTGACAATAAGACGTGGACACGTGAATGAAAGACTGTAGATTTGGTATCTACAGTAAAAAAAATTTCGATTCAATTTTATATCGATGACTAAGAAAAATGGATAAAGGAGAATATAGTTGAAATATTTACCTGTTTAGCAAGATTTAAAATGTTCATGGTACCAACGGTATTGATTTTTACCGCCTCTTTCAATGGCAAGTCGAACTTAACGTTCGCTGCCATGTGGAAAATGACGGAAACTTCTTTAATTAGTCTCTGTTTATCGGCAGTCGATAATGCGAGATCCTCCGAAGTAGTGTCGCCGGCCACCAATATGAGTTTCTTCAGTCTGTCTGGATACTTCTCTTTGATCAGTTTGAAGGGTTCTTGCTGGAAATGTCATCGAACGTTCGCACGTTAATTAATCATTACACGAAATAAAAAGAGAAAACATTTCAGGTGTGTTATGTGACCGAAGTTATGAAACGTCTGTAATCAGTCGTTTCAAAATGCAACTCCTTTTGTTCACTTGAAACGCATAAAGATAATGGGAAAATACGATGATTAAGCTGAAACGGAGAGGAGGTTTGTTCACCTTGTAACGACACGGCTTTAACGATTTACGCGTACGTCTACGGTTGTCACTTTTCTCGCGTCGTACAGTGTATCTATTCCTGGTGATTTTCTATTACCGACCGCATACCATAAGTATAATCGTTCGTCCCTTTCACTTTCGTCAGTGGGCTTTAAAAGTGCAACTTATCGAATTACCAAAGTAAATAGACGATTTTCAGCCATTGTTGCGTAATGGTGACAAACACCGTGTGTAATAACGGACGGTGTACCAGCATGAAGATTACTTATAGCTAGTGTATGCCCGTCATTAAATTTTTTTTCTGAAGTATTCCTGTTATTTTTAAGAGATAAAATTAACAGTAGAATCTTTGAAATTGACTTGAAGGTCAGTGATAATTTCCCTGCGTGGTTTCATCTACTTCCTCATTTTTTAGTCGGACTATTAGTCATAAGAGACCTTGTGCGTACACAAATGAAGTGGTATTATAAATTCTTTTATAAGTAGAATTTCTCATTCAATCCCACGTTCTCATGAAATAATACTGACTTGTTCGAAAATGTGCCTTTTAAGGGATGTAAACGTCAAACAGTACATCTAACAAAGGAATGTTTGAAAGAGAGTAAACAAAAAAGAAGCTACTGTTAGGAGAAGCAAATGAGTAATTCTAACAACTTTGTTTACCTGTCTAGAGCTAAGTGATGTAATCAATTCTATATTGTACTCACTTGTTCCGTACCCTCTGTCATTTATTGTCAGAGACAAAGATCAACGACGACAAAGGAAATAAAAATCAATATTTCACGAACAGACGAAAATTGACGAACTTAATTGGAAGAATCGAAACAAAAAAAAATTTGCAAACTAAATTGAAGGAGTAAAAATAGAAAATTTACAAACTAAATTAGAAGATTCCTTTTTTTTCCCCCACTTTTTAACTTAGATCGTAGGTAAATAAAGAATCTTTGCATTCGCGATTCTATTTGTAATCGTACGCATTACTGCGCGCAGGACGCAATTTGTAGTGTGTCTTAACTTGAATCTGATAACATATCATTAGCATGAGACTATTCGTTGAACATGAACGCAACTATAATTACCTTCGATTGGCCTTTGTTTAATTCAACATTGTCGAACAGTAATAGTGCCTCATTATCGGAGCAAGTTAGTCTGATTACGTAGCAATGAATAGGATACAGAATAACGACGAAAATAAAAAATAGATAGGTACAAATAAAATAATTTTCAAAATATAGAAATTTATACGAATATATTCGATAATATGAAATTAATATAGACATTAAAATTAATAAGCGTATAACGACCTCGGAAATAAGATAATTCAGAGAAAGTTGAATCAAAGATTCTTAAGGTCGCCGTTCCAGGAATCAATTATGGCTGTATTAACTAACTGTGAGCCAATTTCATCGTGATAACAGTCAGTTATGAAACATGTTACAATCAGATTTTTACGTTGTCTATAAATAAATGATTTATTCTAAATTTACTTTCACGATCATTCACAAGGAATAAATTAGTACTTTTGAATGGAACAAGGAAACGTTTATTCTAACTTACGAGCATTACGAACCACGGGTAACTTCCGCATTAATTTCGTGAGTAATAAAAGTTCGGCAACTTGAATACGAATCGGAGAATCTCACTCGATAATTTTATGGAACATTCAAGGTTTCAAATACCCCGGGACTAGCGTAGCATTTTTATTAAAGAAAGAAAAAACCTGTCTTCCTTTGAATCGAACTAAACAGTTAAATTAATTCTTCGTCGAAGAACATATGTAGGTCCACGTTTTGTTCTCGTATTTTCACAGATCCATAGGAGTGTTTTCGTTTTCGCGATCAGACAGAGAAATAGCCATAGAAGTGGCTGGTGCTCGAGAAAACGGGAGAAAGATATGCGTCACGGTGTTTCCCCGGTTCATTTCGAGCGCATCACCTGTCCTTTACCTGTATTATGTGCTGCAGCCTCGTCTGTGGATCGACCTCTTTCTTCTTTCTGATCAGCACGAAAATATTTCCAAGGTTGTGGCAACTGAGCAACAGTTTGTAAATTAAAACTTTCCCCATGAAACCAGTACCACCGGTGACGAAAATATTTCGACCGTGAAACCACTCCGACACCGACTCCGCTACGTCCTCTGATGCCATTTCCGGTGACGCGCTGCACAAAGGAAACGACAATGAGACGGAGGTGAAAGGGAAGAAAAAAAGGCTTTGTTTTATAGATCGTGCAATGTTCACAAAGCGGCGTTAACATTCAGGTTTCTGATCTGATAACGATCCTTCCCGCGGAAAGACCTCGCGATGTAAAGAAGTCGTCGTCGAGTGACACTGCGAATGTAATTTACCGTGTTACATTTTTCGTCTGGTAATTATTCATCTTGATGTTTATTTGGAACATTACCATTTGTCGCCGCGTCCAGTGTGAAACTGCGACAATAATTTATACTCGAGAGAAAGTCGTTCGGGTAGTGTTTTTGTGAAAAGAATATTTATACTCTGTCCAATTTAAGAATAACCTCGCTTGGCGCCATGGGACGTGCCTAAAGCAGGGCTAGAACGTCCAAACCCCCCACTTAACCGCCTACGTTTTTCTCCGTCTTACCCTCTGCTACGCCCCCTGTCTATGCGCAGAACGGACGAAAATCGGTCCGAGAGCGAGGTTATTCTTAAATTGGACAGAGTGCAGTTGGGAATAAATGATTTTTATGGTTTTGAAACAGTAGGTAATATCGAAAGTAATATTTAATACTTCAAAATAAATTAGAAATAATAGATTTTTATAATTTGAAAATAATATTCGATGGAAAGTAAGTTAAGTATATTTAAAGTATTCCTTGCTCGTCGGAAACAATTCTAAGATTTCTATTGTGGAGTAATTTTTCGACAAATGTGAGAAACAAATTGTCCTTTTGTACGAATTTATGCATAGGATAGCTGATCTCTACCTTTTCCATTTTTAAATTGTCAATTATTTATTCGTCCGTTGAACTTTGTACGAATTGATGTTCGAACTGCGTTAGCATTTCACGTTAACAACGAATAAAGTGTAAAAGTATCATTTTTATTATCGTTTCACTGCGTTTCTTATAGCGTGAACGAATGCATGCATAATTAGGCGAATCGGTTAGGTCAAGAGTTGAAAAAACTCAGAGTCGAAACTATCGATACGATATAGTGTAACACGTTTTTAACGTTATTTACGAACTGTTAGCGATTCTGGTAGTCCGAGTCACGCTTAACGATTAATACTTACAGCCTTCGTTCATCTTGTAAAATGTTTTCTCTAGAACTTCCGAATCTTTTTCAAACGTTTCGTTTGATAACTTCGAGTTTCATAACTCGACGAGAGATGATTATTCCGCGCTGCAGTTATTGTATTTTATTCGTTCGTGTATATCGGTGTTAGTTTATACATAATTAATATGTGCGAGCAGCGAGGAGAAAGGGAATTAATGAATATGAAGTTTAATTACAATAATTTATCGATATGTCAAACGAACGATTTAACACATATAAACTATGCACCATTGTTATTCTTGAAATGAAAGAGACACGTGACAGAATGAAGCGTCTTTTTGTATCGTTAACAATTCACGAGTATTGTTGAATATTCGCCGCGTGTTCGCGAACATTTTTCGGAAATCCTAGCCTTCTGGTGTTTCGTGCTTGGAATATCTTTAAACGTAACAAAGAACGATTTTACGTGAATTTTTCAGTTCTTCCATTTTGCATAAGGATATCTTGTCATTTTTTTTGATACTTCTTTAACACCTTTCTGATTTGCGTTATTTCTTTTTTCTTCTTTGGCTTTTATTGAAATTTGAGGTAGATGGTTTTTCAACGTGATGAATTTTTAGTTTTTTCTTTAATTACGTAGAGTTTCGTTGAAATTGCAGAAAAACTGTACAATGAAATTTTAGAAGGACGATATTTTTCATAATGGCTATAATTGTGGCGTTCAGGCTGACTGAATGGAAATTTTCCGTTTTGACTCTTTTTTTTCTTATTGCAATCGTTGGATTAGATCAGTGGTTCTCAAACTGGGTGCCGCGAAATTTTGATTTGTTTAGTAACGTTTATATTTTTTCAAATACGTCTCATCCTTCGTATCTTTGCTGACCGTAAAAAGCAAAAAATAATAACAAGGGTGCCGTGAATTTTGTTTAATGATCTCAGAGTGCTGCCAGACGAAAAAGTTTGAGAACCACTGGATTGGATAGACGCGGAAAAAAAATTTGTTGCCATGATAGGTTTGTACCTACGTCGAATTTATGATTCCCCGAATGAGGTGGCATAAAATTCATCTAAAACATCGAACGCTAATGAGTCTCCAGCAAAAGATATGACGGTATCTCAAATTCCTGGATTTTCCTTATGAGCAACGTCCAAAGTTATATTGTAATTTCGGAATTTTAATTTCTATGCTGTTTTAATTTCGAAATTTTCATTTCCGTACTACTTCAATTTCTAAACTATTTAAAATTCGAAATTTTCATTTCTATACTGTTTTAATTTCGAAATTTTCATTTCTATACTGTTTTAATTTCGAAATTTTCATTTCCGTACTATTTCAATTTCTAAAGTATTTAAAATTCGAAATTTTCATTTCTATACTGTTTTAATTTCGAAATTTTCATTTCTATACTGTTTTAATTTCGAAATTTTCATTTCTGTACGGTTTTAATTTCGAAATTTTTATTTCTATACGGTTTTAATTTCTATACTGTTTTAATTTCCCGAATTTTAATTTCTATATTGTTTTAATTTCGAAATTTTCATTTCTGTACTGGTTTAATTTCGAAATTTTTCTTTCTTCACAATTTGTTTTAATTTCGAAATTTTCATTTCCGTACTATTTCAATTTCTAAACTATTTAAAATTCGAAATTTTCATTTCTATACTGTTTTAATTTCGAAATTTTCATTTCTATACTGTTTTAATTTCGAAATTTTCATTTCCGTACTATTTCAATTTCTAAAGTATTTAAAATTCGAAATTTTCATTTCTATACTGTTTTAAGTTCGAAACTTTTATTTCTATACTGTTTTAATTTCGAAATATTCATACCTATGCTATTTCAATTTCTAAACTATTTTATTTTCTACGCTATTTAAATTTCTGAACTACTTTAACTCCGAAAATATTATTTTATCCCTAAATTATTTACAGAAACGTTTCTTTCGAACTTGTACGAGTCGTTTATTTGAAAAACTGTCGCTTCGACGTTTCCACTTTGCGTCGTCGTCGTTTCGCTTTTCTAATCAGATTCTGAGATCGATGCAAGAAGGAAAAGGAATTCCTTGTGCGTACAGCCGCGGCATCGATTGTCAATTACCTTAAATTTCACTCGGACGACGAAGCCAGTAACTCGTTAAGGGCATTTTCATGCTCTTGCCTCGTAAAAGAGTACTTGAATCCACGTTACGAAATATTATCCTTCGAATGGTTTTGAAATTCCTTTAATTCAATTCCGTTCTAATTTCAACGAGATCACCCGTCATTTTTGCCAAATTTCATTCGATCAATTCAATTAAATCGTGTGAAAATATATTTCTATTTTATTTATAAATTATCGTTCCTTGAATTTCTTGGAAATTTCCTTAGTTGTCGCTTTTTTCTTTATTACAATTCCAAAGACATTATTCGTATATTTTCGAAATTTTATTTAATCGGTAAAATTAGTTCAATTTATATTATTTCTGATACTAGTTCACAATAATCAAACGTAATACAGTATCATTAATGTATTTGAATAATTTATACTTTTACAAGATACAAACAGACGTTCGTTAAAATTAGTTCGTTCTGTCAAAACAGATGAAATATTTCATCCATTTATTTAACAACTAAAATTTCAACCATCCACCAATAGTTGAAACAACAAATTTCCATCATCAACGCATCGCTATTATCCCCGTAAGTCACCTGAATCTTTACATCAACCAATTCTCAACCCTTCGTTTCTATCAACAACTTTAATCCACTTAATTCCACTATCTCCCAATTACCCCCTTAATCCACGTCCATCAAAACTTTCAATTTACCCAATACAACCACCCCTAATCCTACTTCCTTATCATCATACCCCAACACCTATCTGCCACACCAAACAGAATTTCAAACACTTGTCAAAATTCCCGATTATTATCTCCGACTAAAGTGTCACCTTCATCTTCATTGGCGCCTAGTACAAACCCTTACCTTCCCCAACACTAACCAAACAAGAATTCTCTCAATTATAAAATTACCACGAAAAAATTCAAACACTTTCCAACACTCGACTAACGAACTAAAGTTATCAAAGTTCCAACATTTCGCATTACACCGATACGTGAAAACAAACCATATTCACCTACGAAAAAGATGACCCTTAGAATTTAAAATACGTACCGCTTGAAACAGAATCGACGCAATAGGATGAGCAACGGCAAGAAAACCGAGAAAATCTTGGATCACTGTTGAAATCGTACCGAAGCAATACTGTATAAATCGGACAAGATAGCACCTAGGTGTGTACCGACAATGTAACTCGAGCAACGATCGCGATGGCAGTGGTCGAAGGTACGAGGCTCTCCCGATCGCAACAAGAGAACGAAAGGTTCTGGCGTGGTCGCGTGCACGCTGCTCGGCTCGCTTGGCCAACACTCGTCTGACGAGAATTTATATTTCGTTCCATGGGTAGTGGTGATCGGCTGGGAATTACGTGCAGCTTTAGAGATCGGTAACCCCTTCACCGGAACATTACGAGGTTATCCCGATCATTGAATGACTCGTGAATTCAGTCACGTTTCGTCCGACTTATCTTTAATTTTGCTACTTTATTGCCTGACCTGGCCTGTCGTCTCTCTCTAGACTGTCCTTAGACTTAGTTTGCGAATTGTGACCCCCCCATAGTCTCGTTATTCAACGAGATTGATTAAATCGTTGAAGTTAATTGTTTCCGTTGGAACACGATTTCAATCGACGCGAAACAGGTTGCGATTTTTCGTACAGCACTCCCCCAGTTATACACATACTTCGTCACTCCGGTTTCGTTCGTTGCACGTTCTCTATCGGCTTGCTTTTTTCGAGCACGGTTCTTTGTTTCTTCGTTTTGTGTGAAGGTGACGCAGCATCTTGCCTCGAGAGGAAAAAAGGAAATAGTTGACTTGGAGGACGAGAAGATCCACGCATTTTAAGGGACTAGTCTCGCCTGCCGAGGAGAAATGCTCTCCCGAGGACAACGGCGGGTTCGGTGCATCGAAACATTTCAAAAGGTTCAAGTGTTATTTCGTTGATTCTGATTTCACGTGTGTTTGATGTATGACGAGGAGGAATTTTTCACCCTGTTGCTTGTCGAAGTGAATGGTTCACTGATGAGTAACGTTTGTCGGCTTAGAAAAATGTTGGTTTGTTGCGAGATTAGAGATTGTTAAGCAAAGAGTTCGATCGGTGTTGATATAACAGTAATTTGCAGGGTAGAAGAGGTCTTTTTTTTCATCTTGAGAGAAATAAGTTTAATCGTTCGTAGAATTTGCTTTTATATTGACAGAGGATGAAGAGCTACATTTTTTTTTTTTTTTTGAGCCGAAGAATGCAACTTTTGTTTAAATCAGATGTTTCGTTGAATTTTCTATTGAATTGATTATTCGGTCAAAATTGTACGTTGATTGAATTTAGAAAAATCTTATTTTCTTGCAAGCTCGTGTATTCTCATCGTACAATTTTAAAAAAGAACATTTTTTATTTAAAAAAAACGTGATGATAAGAAGTTGTATGTATTACAAATCAAAGCTTACAGTTTAAAAAATAAAAGGGTATCGTCTTTTTTTAATTCGAAGTTTATTTTAAGAAAGATAAAAGTTTCATTTTTGTTTTGTTCACGAGTACCAAAGAGAATTCGATAAGCTGAATAGCATAACCAAGCAGAAGAAAGTTTTCCTTTCGATTCCATGCACGAATCATCCAAGTATTTATGAACTCGTTGTCTAGCTCTGAATGAAGTGATTTTAATGATGTTTGTTTTTTAAGTCTGACAACTTGAAGAGTTAGAGAAATGATGGACAGTTCGTTTCGTATAAGAAAACAGTGTTTGTCAGAATCTTTAAGATTGACGCGAGTTTCTTCGAAGTCCAACGTTAGTTTTTACTTTTCAATTGGAAGACTTTCGTGATCCTTAAATGCACGCATTTCGAAACACTTGTCATCGAGGAGAAACTTTCTTTTCCATTCATTATCTGCATACTATAGATTGTGAAACTGTAGTCATGATTATGAAATGAACGTGTGCAAACGAAAGTAGAAGATGCACTATCCTCACGAGTTAAATATGTATTTATGATAAATGCAGGAAAAGGAAGTATAATCATGCACGATGTAAACATGTTATAGGAACCGATTTTATTACAAAAACTCGTAAATAGAAACACATGTCTAACAATTGCAAGAAAATACAGAACAGTTCTTTTTTTTTCTTTCAAAGTTTCTTAATTTATAAAACAAATGAATTAATTTGTTAGTTACAAACAAAATTTCATCTTACTCTTTCTACCGTAATATTAAATCAACAAATGGCACACTTTTCTTCCGATAAAAATTTAAGACAATTCCTAATATAATATAGAAACAATAAAATATTTTAACATATACAAAAATTAAATATTTCATAATTATATTTAAACAACTTTACTTCCCAACACCGTTTTGAAGGTAAAGCATGTGATAATGTATTTCAATGTATGAATTGTACTTGGAAAAAAGATATCCTTGTCCAAACATTCTGGTGCGTTCGAAGTAACACGGAATTATGAAGTACAGTTTGTGAAATGTATTGTAGAAGTATATGTGAAATGTGGTTTGATTAGAACTACGTATATAATTTATAACTGATCGAAAAGAAGATACGTAATTGGAACGACCAAAACAGTTTTGGTCCAAGTGCTGGCAAATACGATTTTAATCAACCACCAAACCAAACCTAATAATGCGGCTTGCAAACCCAAGTGAGCAACCATTAATCTGAAAATATTAAGAATAAATAAATAACGAATCCTTTACTAGCATATAAATCTTCTCTTGTAAAAACAAGAAAGTATTCTTACACTTTATCTTTGGAACGAGCTTTTTCCAATGTTTTTGGTGATTCTTTGTGCAGATACGTTCTGACTCCTTGTGTTAAATCAACGAAGTAGTCCTCCCATACCAATGACTTAATATCTAAATTGAAAAGCTCTTTATCAATCTCTGATAGCGACTCGTGTAACTCAATCATGCGAGGATTATGAAACTTCCATTCGGTAAAGATAAATCTTTTCAAACGATCCAGCGAGTTGTTAACGTTCGTGTGCAATCGTACCAAGCTAAAACATACAATTTTTTTTATTCGTATCATTTCGTAAATGTGGCGTGATAGTCTGAAAACTTAATGCTAACCATAATTTACAACTTACACTGGTCGTCCTCCTGCTACTTTAGTTACTGTGTCCAAAATATATGCCGGAATTAAGTGCACAAAAATTGCAGAGAGTTTGAATAAGAATATTGAGGATACCAATTTAAGGTGTGGATACCAAACAGCACTTCGCAACGGATATTTGTGTAAATAACGATTAATGTTTGACTCCACAGAGAGCCACCTGAATGGGTTACATGTACTAGATGTACAATGGAATACTTTCAATTCTTTCCCACTATAACAGAAATATATTATTATTCCATCAACATTTTTTTTTATTAAGTTTTTCTGTTTCTACTACAGTTTTTAATATAAGTCGCAAAATTTCGCCATACCTGTCTTGATTGACAGCATAGGCTGCAGTAATAAGATTATTTACAACAATATCTACTGGAATATAATCATAAATTAGCTGCTTTGCAACTGGTAATCTTCTTACAACACCCTTACTAGCTCCCATTAAAAATCCTTGTGGTCCATTCTTTGATATTGTCCATCCTTCTACTGGCTCCTTCCATGCTCCAGTTACTGCAAATATAAAACATGATAATTGATAGAAGATATACAATTTACAAATTTTGAACTTCATTTTCTTAAAATATTTAATTACATACTCATTGAAGGACGAACAATAACTGCAGGAATTTTGCCATTTTTAACTTCATGCTCAGCCAAATGCTTTGTAAATGTATATGAATTTGGATGATCCTTTAATATATTTGGTGTCTCTGCTTCTAAAGTAGCATCATCCAACTTTTCCACTATTATCAGTAATTCATTCACATCAAATGGTGTTGGATATACACGTTCTTCTGCTTCAGTTAACACTGCATTAACAAATGCACTGGAAACATGTACCAATGCCTAAAAAGATTGAAAAGTGTTATCCATATGTTTGCAATTATCATAATTGAATTCAAAAAAAATATACAAATAAAGTGACCTGTTTGCCAAGTCTGAAGTGGTTTACCTTGAGATCTCTTATTTCCTGACAAAGCTGTACAACTCTGCGTGTACCCAATAAATTAATATTTGTGGTAGATTTTAAATCTGCTTCAAAGTCTAATGTTGCTGCTGAATGTAAAACAATTTGAACATCTTCTACAAGTGTTAATCTGTCTGCAGATGATAGTCCCAAATTTTCCTGTCCAACATCACCAGCTACAGGAATCAGTTTTTTAAATAAATCTGTCTTATTTTCTTCTTTCAGCCTATTGAATACCTAAAACAATAGTTTCCACAAAACATCAGTATACTTTCACTAAAATTAAACAATTCCAAAATTTATATAACAACTTTCTCTTTTCTTTCGATGAAATAACGAGCGCCCACGTGTAAATTGTTCCCAAGGCAAAAAAATTTGAAACATTTTAATTTATACAAGAAATAAGAAAATCACATTTATAAGCCACAAAATTATTCATAGTCGCGTGAAAGAAATCTTTATTTGCTAAGACAACAAAATCAACGAGAAGTAAAAATTATTGATATTTAAAATCATAATTATGTAATTTAAAACAATTACGAATATTAAAAAAAAAAGCAGTTGATAAACTAAAGTATGTTTACACTCATTAATAGATGAACGCCGACAAATATTTCATCTTTTTATACATAAGGAAAACGAAATGAATGTCACTAACAGATCAAATCAAAGGTTATATACATATATGTCACGCGATTCAACTTGATTGCCGTTAAAATATCGGCATACAGAACGTGACATTCTTATCATACCGAATTCTCCTTAAGTTCCTCCAATCTTTCCTCTATCTGCTTCCCCTTTTTCGGTCGTATCAATAAATATATATTTTTCAAATCCGGAAAGGACCTCAGTAGTTTTTCGATCAGACAAATGCCGAGAAAGCCAGTTCCGCCGGTGATAAATACTGTTTTGCCATTGTAAAAATTGACCACGTTCGACGCCATCGTAATTCGTCTTTTTTTTTTTTTTTCAAATCTTATACAAAGATTCGCTTGAAAAATTTCGTGAAAATCAACAAAAAAAGTCACGCGATCCTTTGCAACGTTGTTGAGAGCATACAATGGGTGAGAACACTAACGGCACGTAGTACGCAGCACAACCACCGCTGGTTCGACGTCAACTGAGAGATGGTAACGCTAGCAAATGAGATTACGGAGAATGGTTGGTGGGATAATTGTGCGCGTCTGCCAGAGTTGAAAAATTTTTAATTTATTCCATGACTAATTCATAACTTTCATTCACTGGTATTACTTTGAAAACAATGATACATGTTATATGCAAAAAGCAATATGTTTCTGCGTGTGAAAATCTTCACCAATTTTGTCACGTGATCATCATTGATTCGCCATGTTGGGACCTGACCTAACAGTTACACGCTCTCTCGGTGTGTCTCACCAAGGAACTCACAAATTCTCTCGCAGTAACATTCTGTAATCCATTTTAGCGTCTCGTACATTTTCAATTATTTTACCTGGTATATGTATATTACAATAATTTCTATCTTCGGATACTTTTATTGTTTATCCTTTGTCTCTCGTAAGTTAAATAAAAAATTAATTGAAAAGAAGATACGTTTTAAATTAAAATCGATTACTGATTATACAAACGAGTATGTATTAGGAGGAAGATATTAAACTGTTGTTCGGTCACCAGTAGCAGTCGTTTTATAATTTTTATCGTGTGTACAAAGTCCGATCATACTTTTTGCATCATTACGATTCGTATCTAATAGGAAAGAGATTTCGGTTGATTGAATATCACGATCCCTTATTTTATTTGCTGTACAATTCGACGAGTGTTTTACTCGTTATTTGATCATGATATTTCTCGGAAAAATAGCGAAAAATTGGAGAGAATTTGCATAACGTTTATCTATTCTATGATCAGTCGAAGCAAACAGAAATTCCTCTGTGCACATTGAAGACGTAACGTAACATAGCGTGGACTTTGAAATTACAGTCTATTTAAAACTATAGAATGCATAAAATTAGATTCGTACAATAAATTTTTTTATTTAAACGAAATTTGCACATTATTTTTTGACAAATTGTTAAAATGCAAAGCGAATAAAGTCCACAATTGAGAAACACTGGCAAAAGTGAAGAATCTTGCATTGTTTAAAGTGACAAAGAGTTGTTCTACACGGTGCGGCAAGAAAGTAACGAGACTAGTAAAAAATACAAGATACTAATACATAACATTGTAGAATTTTTATTTATCTCCTTCGAAATAATCTCCAAGGAACTCAATATAACGTTTGCATCGATCGCATAATCGTTTAAAGGAGTTTGAAAATTGTTCTGCCTTAAATTCGTTTAATTGTCTTGCAACACTGTGGAATATCAAGCACCGATTGAAATCGTTTACCTTTCAATTTCAGTTTCAATTGTGGTAATAAAAAACAGTCTGCGGGGGCCAAATTAGGAGAGTAAGGAGGATGATTAAGCACAGGAATTCCCTTTTCAGCTAAAAACGTTGTTACGGTTACGGTTGCTCCATCGTGAAGACTGTGATGGCACGACAAAACAAGACGCGGAAAACAGTTCTCTACGTTACAAAACCGAAATGTCGGCTGCTGCTTATTAGCGGACGCTTCATATCATATTGCGACATTCGCATAACATTGCAGCTGCACCGTATGCCAGTCGAAATGTACCGTGTACACTCCCGCTCAAAAGTTTGGAGGTTAGGGTTTCAAGACAAATAATGACCTTTTTTTTTGTAAATAAATATCTTATTTATAATGTTACACTTTTGTAGCATAGAAATGTTAGTTAAGTGTATATAAAAGTGAAAGTTAAGATTATATGTATTACTCTTAGAAAATACTCATTATCATATTAGAAATTACTCGTAGAAAAATTAGAAAAAAGTGCCCAACATCTAAAACCGACCTCGGGAACGATTTACAAGAGGCATGGAATAATATTGAACCGGGAACAATCGAGAAATTAATTTCCAGAATGCCCAAATTATGTCAAGCAGTTATGTATCAAGAAAAAAGGAGGATTCTTCTGCGAAAAGACACTTTTGTAAATTATGTATATACTTAACTAACATTTCTATGCTACAAAAGTGTAACATAAAGGAAATATTTATTTGCAAAAAAACGTCGTTATTTGTTTTGAAATCCTAACATGCTCGAAACTTTTGAGCGGGAGTGTACATATGTATGTATGTATTTCAAAGAAAATGAAAATTTCGTCATTGCCATCTTGAAGAAAAAATATTTCCACTAATAAGAAACAATTGAATTATTGAATAGGTATCAATGGGATAATTTTAGACACATTGCTGTTCTTTTGTCGACGGTACCGTTCGCGGAAATAGAAAAGATCGCTGACAAATATACTTCGACGAATATTTAACGGTATTTTCGACACGCAGTTATTTTGTACGCTTCTATTATTAAATATTCAGTTGGAAATCATTTTGCTGAATTCGAAGAAATTGTGTAACGAAAGAAATATCGCTGGTAAAATTAATTCTAGAAAAATTCGAAATAAATATGTGTAACGGATTTTTTTTTTATATATATACATATACATATATGAAAGTAAAATAATTTCATACTGTGCAAATGTGTACTGCATGCACGGTGCGGCAACAAAGTAGCGAGACTGAATTTTTGCTGCTGGCATACGGTGCGGCAACAATGTTGTGCAAATGGTCGAAATGGATACGCTGGAACATTATCTAAAGCGTCCGCTAGTAAATAGCAGACGAAACTTCGGTTTTGTAACGTACAGAACTGTTTTGAGCAACGTTATAATATTAAATTTTACGTGAAACTGGGAAAAACCGCAAGTGAAACTCGTGCACAGACATTTCGTTGGTTCAAACGTTTTAATAATGGTAGAAATGATATTGAAGATGATGCCCGAAGTGGACGACTAAGAACGACCTCAAACCCCCCCGAACTAGTAGGAAAAGTGAGAGATTTACTTAAAAACGACGCCTCTTTAACACACAGGATGATCGCTGATGAATTTGAAGCGGATAAGGAATCCATAAGGTCAATAATTACTAGAAAATTGGGCAAGAGAAAAGTGTGTGCCAAATTCGTACTGCACCTGCACTCACATCGGTAACCGTAACAACGTTTTTAGCGAAAAACAGTGAAAAGGGAATTCCTGTGGTTAATCACCCTTCTTACTCTCCTGATTTGGCCCCCGCAGACTTTTTTTTATTCCCACAATTGAAATTGAAATTGAAAGGTAAACGATTTTAATCCGTGCTTGATATTCAACAGTGTTATAAGTAATTAAACGAATTCAAGGCAGAACAATTTTCAAACTCCTTTAAACGATTATGTGACCGATGCAAACGTGAGTTCCTTGGAGATTATTTCGAAGGAAATAAATAAAAATTCTACAATGTTATGTATTTAGTACCTTGTATTTTTTACTAGTCTCGTTACTTTCTTGCCGCACCGTGTATAAAAGTAGCATAATTTCATACTGTGCAGATTTGTACTGCGTATTAATGGTATTATTGAGTAAGATCTGCGTATTTACAGGTTCTGAGTTAAATGTTAAATACTTTTTTCCAACATTTAAAGTTTTATAAAATATGCACTGTTTGTCTGTACAGTAATGGCTTGTTAATAAACTGATCTTTAGCTGTACTCGTTTATATTCTTCAAGAGACCACAACTGGTTAGTTGTTGATGCATTTTTTTATATTGCAGTTTTTCTCGAATTTATCTGATCGCGTTCGATCATTATGTAGCACACGAGAGGATAAATTTCACTTCCGTCCTCGATGTCCTCTTACTTAAGAGTTAATAAACGGAATAACGCATCAAACTTTCTCATTTTTTCTTGTACATTGATCTATCTGTATTTAACAGATTTCTAATTAGTTTTCAATTTCACGAAACTCGATACGAATTTTGCGATCAATCGAGAAATTATTCAATTCATGATCTGTGATTTTAAACATGTTTATGAGAATTCAAGAATAACATTGCGTAAGAATAATATTAAATCCGATGAAAAGTCCGAATGACGACAAACAAAATTAAAAATTTAAATATCAAGAAGTGCGTTTCAATTAGCACCTCTTTTTGTACTTTTTACCATGTAATCTGTTTCGTATGTTTGTTTCGAATTTTTCCCGGTAGATGTCAGACTAGAGAGTATTTTAGAAAGAAATGTAATATAATATTGTTTAATTGAACTATTAAATTTACCTTAAGATGAAAATTTAACATGTTTCAAATCGATATCATAAAAATCTCAGAGGAAATTTAACTTAACTAGTAAAAGATTTTAATCTGTTTTATTACTTGATACCCCTTAACGCTGATGTCTCGTACAACTTACTAGATGGTTGGTTCCACGATTTTCCTCTCGTTTTAACGTGATATTTTCTGTCTTAATCCTCTCCAATTAAATATTATAATATCATCATGATCAATCAGATCGATTGAGCCCTTAATTCTGTCGAGTTGCAATAATGTTCGTCGTTATTTCAATTTCAGTATTTTTAATACTGACCTTCATACAAGGAAATCACTAAAAATAGTCACGAAGGTATATTACAAAATGTTCTAATTACTATATAACGGTGATAATTAAAATTGTATACCATTCGTCGTAGAACAATCGAGGATATATAAATGAAAATGACATTGAGCTGGATTAGTTTTTTTTCTTCAACATTTTAGAAAGAACGCTTGAGTAACAATTGAAAGAATCAAATTCATTTGGTGCGAAAGAGATTTTTTTATTTTCACTAACAAAATTTTTATAAAAACATAACAAAATAAATTTTAAGACGAATCAGTGTTAAATCTATCAAAATTATTTATAATAAAATGATTATTCGCTGAATAATTCATCGATTGAATTTCGTACTAAGGAAATTGTAATTCATAGTGGGTATCACGTGATCTTAGGTGCAAATGCAAATGCAGTACCGCAAAAATTGATCGTATTTCTCTTGTTAGTAACAGGTGTTGAGAATATCTGTTTGATCGATTACGTAAAATTAATAATTTGTATCATTAACATAATTTATGAGTCATTTATTGCATTAAAAAAAGCATTTTCTAAAAATTAGATAATGCATGTAAACGAGTTCTAATTGTGAAATGTTATTTTT